GGGTTTTTCCGTTTCATCGGGGGTGCTGTTGATATCGGTACTTCACTGTCACTGAATAGACTTTTCGAAACATTGAGTGTGGGCGGGTTGCTACTGTTGGCTTCGTCGTCATCTTCGCTACACTTCAGAAATGGTTGAGTTGTACGGAAAGGTTGTGTTGTTGCCACTATAATCGGAAAAGTTTGACAGTCTTGATGCTTTTTTCGGTGACCTCCAGGGCATAAAAATTTGGATTGTGTCAACAAAAGTTGGTGATATGGCCTAACTTAGGTAGAGTATTGTTGGAAAAGCCACCAGACACTAGAGAGTTAGGGGTAAAACGAAAAACAACCAACTTGGTATAAAACTGGGTTAAAAAAACGAAAATTAGTGGTAATAGTTAAGAATAACAAAAAAGTGCTGTAAACATCAAAATTAGGGATAAAACCACCAAATATGGTGTTATGGCCTAAATTAGGAAGCGTATTTTTGGGAAAGCCACCAGACACTAGAAAAATAGGGGTAAATTGAAAATCAAACACTTTGGTACAAAATTGGGTTCAAACAACGAAAATTATTGGTAATTGTTAAAAATAACAAAAAGTGCCATAAACACCAGTAATTTAAAGCACCAAGTCACGTGTTCATTAATTTACTGCATAAAAATTTCTTTAAAATCTTTGCAAGTAGTTTTCATTTAGTTTACAAAAGATAGCAAAGAACGAAAAGAGGCAAGTGAAGTTCTTAGGAGTTTTTCAGTTTTCAGATTCCTTATTTCAGGCTTCACCATATGTTGGGAGATCCCGCGATCTGTCTGCTTAAAAATAGCTCGTGCTTGGTCAAGACTCATCTGAATTTCGTTGTCTTCTGGGCGAGTTACTGCGGCTTGCTAACTGAATTTTATGCCCATTTGTTTTTTGCGTTATATTTTTGCTAAGTACAAGCGACCTGCAGTGTGCAACGTGTACTTCGCAGTTGCCCTTTGAGGCCGATTTTTGACTAAAAAGAGCAATTTACCCAGCTGTTGGTAGGCTGTTGCCTGCTGCTTCGTTCTCCTGGGACGCGCATCTTCCAAGCTCTTCAAGGGACATCATCTCATCTTCGCTTTTGTCATTATCATCGTCTTCCTCATTTGTTTCTTTTTCATCTTCTGCGATGTCGTGCGTTTCATGTTCCATCTCGTCGTTGCTTTCTTCTTCTGCGATGTCTATTGAAGCAGAGGTTACAGCTGCTTCTCGAATGGCTCGTGGTTGTTCTGTTTGTTGACTGGCTCGTGGTTGTTGTTTGTTGACTGGCTCGTGGTTGTTGTTTGTTGACTGGCTCGTGCTTGTTGTTTGTTGAATGGCTCGTGGTTGTTCTGTTTGTTGAATGGCTCGTGGTTGCTCTGATGAAAACTTATAAAGATCTTTGTTGATCAGCAAAGTCATATGAGCACTATTTTTGGCCTCGTTCCTTGCCACTTCATAGTGCATTGAGGCCGCGCCGCGCGAGTGACCCATTGCCTGATCAATAGATCTTATTTAGTGAGGGTCAGAAACATTTTCTGCCCAATACGAATTCAAAATTTTCCTAACTTTCTTCGAATCAAAGTTATCAATGTTATATTGGTTTTGAATAGTCTTCTGGTAGTTCGTGGTCCTCGAATCTAATTGGTAGAGCGAGGGATTTTTCAAACTTGTCGGGCAGAAAAGAAACTTCTCATTTCCCTGCCCTTTCAGCTCTCCTATGTACAGGTATATCTCTAGAAAGTCCTTCTCCTGCTGCATCAGGGAGAGGTATTTTTTTTCTTCGAATTTGAAATTTTTGTGGCTCTTAGACAGTTCTTTGCAATATCAAGGTCCGTTTCCTCTTCTCCGTTCTTTCCAAATTCCGAGGGAAGCAAATCAAACGTATATACCTCTGTTTCTTTGTCTTAAATCATGCGATATAGGTAGTCCTTATGCAGCCGGTAAATAGTCCCTGCTCTTGCTCCGTTTGATATTATGAGCAAAGCAAGTAAATTGTGTTGGATTATCCGATACTCCTGGTCGCTCACATTTTCGCCTGTCTATGCTGTTTCAAGAAATTGAACGATCTCAATCCTCAGTATTTCGAGTTCTTTCCTTAATGGTAGCTTTTTTGTTTCCCTCTCGATATATGTGTTTTTCTCAATTTTTGAGATTCTGTTTAAAGCTTTGATTCGTTCTTGGATTGTTTTTTCTATCAAGCTATATTCTAGTTTTGTTTCGTCTTCTCCTAATTTTAGGTAAACAATTTTGTGGAGATCGCCAAACAAATTTTGCTTACTGGACGCTTTGTTCTCAACTCTCTTATTTTTCACCCAGTCTCAGATTTTTGTTATATCCCTGAAGCCATTAGTTTGCTTGATACAGTCACTCAGCTTGCGTATTTTTCACTCAATGTTCTGATAAGTAAAGGTTATTTGTTCATTGAAATCATTTTCTATCAGCTTGGTCTGTTTGAATTCCGTCAGCATGTTCGAAAAATCCAGTCCTGGTCTGCTAAATTTCGAATTTTGTGCAAGTTTGAGGACCTCTAACTTTTTTTTCTAATTATTGGTTTTTGCTGAAACTTTGTCAATTTATAGACCTGCAAAGAAGAAAAAAAACACCTGATAAGGATCTCAAAGTAACGATAATGACAACTTACTACCTCTATAGAAGCTTACTAAAAAACAATAAAAATCCAGATTCAACCTATCTAAAACATTTAATTAATTAAAGGTCGTTATTAATGTCTGCAATCAAAGCAAACTACATGATAATGATCTCAGAGGAACGGCAAGAACAAAATACTGCCTCTTAAAGAGCCTAGATAACCATAGTGTTGAAGATCAAAAGTTTTTCTCATGAAGTTTTTTTTTTAAACGAACCTAGCAAAAAAACTTTTCTGTTGAAAGGTTGTAACTTTTGTCTGTAACCGAGGACAACTACACGATAATGAGCTCAGAGGAACGGCAAGGACAAAATACTGACTCTTAGGAGCTAAGATAACCATAAACATGAGACTTCCAGAGAAAAATTTTTGATCTTTATGTTCATGGTTATCTGAGCTGCTAAAGAGGCATCGTTTTGTCCTTGTTGTTTTTCTGAGATCCTTAGCGCGTAGTTGGCCTTGATTGCAGACAAAATTACAATCTTTCATCTGGAAAATTTTTTTGCTAGGCTCATTAAAATTTTTTTTTTAAAATAGGAATTCCAGGGAACAATTTTAAATCTTCATGTTTTTTAAATTTAAATGAGCCTAGCAAAAAACCTTTCTGATGAAAGATCGTAATAATTGACTTCATATATATCGCGCGTTAATTGTCCCAAATTGGCCATCGCAATCTTTAAACCCCCATAACTTTACCAAAAATGATCACAGGTGAAATATCTTTCCAAATTTTAAGCTCTGGGCAACAATACCTTTTGAATGATATAAAAAATTCCGTCAAAAATGATTAGTTAAAAAGTCGAAATTTGTCTGAAGAAAAAAAACCCAACCCGAGCACAAATATTTGGTTACTTTCGTTACGAAAGTCGGAACAATAAGTAATAATTTCGATACAACTTGTGAAGATTAGTTAGAGAAACTAATCAAGACTAACTAGCCGATATTTGATTCTTTAAGCCAGCTGAGATAGATAGAGAGATCCATACTGTCGGAACCCAAGCGTATGACGCAAAATACTGTTTGAAACATCTGGAATAAATCAATCAGGAAAGGTAGAGGACATACATCCCCCCGCCGCGCTCTCGAAAAAATCCTAGATCCGACCCTATTGGTTTTTATGAAAAATTTTCAAAATGTGTCTTTCATATAGAACACCGCAATTTTAAGAGCACTAATGCCATCTCTTTTTTTCTGCAAAACTGTTACAAAAAGAATCCGTAGTTTTTTCTTTTCAGTTTATTGACACTTTCAACTGTCTGTTGGCTTTCAAGTAATTTTGAAGTAATAGTTGTATTTTTTCATATAATGAAATTGATTTAATGAAATTGATCTTTATTTCTTTTATTTTAAAACCATTGAGTGTCTGGGCAAAAGACAGAATCATCTAGTTAATTCACCTTTACTCATTCAGCTTTACTCCTAATAAGAAAACGGATAACGTTTGTAATTTTTTTTTTTTTTCATTTTTATAGTATATAAGTATTTTTTCAATATAGTTTGACTATTTTATCTGACTGAAAGCTGTTGCTATTATGCAAATAGTAAGAGTCAACCGAGGTTTGAAAAGTTGAAATCCATAATTAGTTTTTCTTAGTACGGTTCAGCTGAACAATTAACGCAACCAATCTTCTGTAAATATACTTAAAATCATGCTTACAAAATTTTAGCTTTAAGGAGCAATGTTGGATTTCTACTATTTCGATTTTAATTAAAATTATATAATTATAACGCTATAATCGCCAGATTTTTGAATATCTGTTTCTTTTGAAAAATAAATTGAAGTTCAAATTTGATGCATCTGCTCTGAATATTCAACCGGGGCAAACCAGTATTGAAACCTTTAATAGAAAATTTTATCTAACTTAGCCAATTACAGACCGTTATTTTAACACTTTTACTTATGAGATGTGATTTTTCTTAGTTTTTTTTTTTCACAGAGTAACTTCTAATCTAAAGATAATTAGGATTATGTAAAAAATGCCGAAGATATAGCGTTTTTAGGTTGACGTTTATAGTTATAGCAAAAAAATACAGTAGCTCACAAGCGTCAAGTTTATGAACCTTTCGCCGCCTACAATTAAAGTTAGGTCTTCTGAAATTTTTGTCCGAAAATTTTGATTTCACGGCCGGTACAAATTGACCCTGATATTCCAATATATAATAATTTATTATAAAATATTGATAAGAAGTTGCGGTCTAATATGAAGGCAATTCGTTTATCCTTTCTGGGTATACTTATATCGCTATATGTGTTTCTTTCATTCATCTTCACTCTACATGCCCTTATGTCAAGTTATCCCGAAGTCCGAAAATTGGCAGTCGATTGGCCATTGTGGCAAAAAGCTAATTCAACACAAATGAGCGCAATGTGTCACCGTCCAATTGGAATCGATTATTTTCCGAACTTAATCGAGGCGTTCAATGTTCCGAGAAGAAATAGTTTCCACATTCCAAGAAAAATGTCCGAAGATCAATACGACACTTTAATGCGACTACTTTATTTGTCAATGAAGGTGTTTTATGACAATGACATTGAGTATACTGTGAGTGCCGGAGGACTTATAGGCTCATATGTAATGCATGATATGTTACCATGGGATGATGACATGGATATACTAATCAACGAGAAACACATGCGAAAGGTAGTAGAGCTGTTCAAAGATGACCGGCATTATGGAATCCAGGGATACCAGAACAAAAATCAGCCCGGAAGTGTGGTCAAATTATTTTTCACGTCTTCTCCCAGTACTAGTAAATATAATTGGAGATGGCCGTTTCTGGATATCGAAAGTTATATCGAAGAGGGTGACCAAATTAAGTTAGCGGACAGATCTGATCGAAATGTTTCGTGGTCAAGAGATTCCTACTTTCCTTTCCATCGACGACCTTTTGGACCTCTTTGGCTTAACTTCCCTCGAGATCCCAAAGGTTACTTAAGAGCTCATTATTTGCACCACTTCAAATGCAAGACACAACATTGGGACCATGAAAAAGAAAAACTACAGCCTAGACTCGAAGTAGATTGTGACCTATTAGCTCCTCACTACCCCTTCGTCAAAAGAACTCCCTTCGCCAATATCACAAAAGAGACTTTAGTTCTAAATGAAACGGAATTGTACACAATCTATATTGATGAACCCTATAAAGAAACAGAGTATGAGCTCGGTTGGTGGTAGGTTGAATTACTATGCCGTCTCAACGCTTAAAAATATTGATTGAGAAATTGAGTGTTTTGCCAGTGTTACTACTGATCATATTGAAGAAATCGTAGCGTTTTTCCCGTTATTTTCGTGGTTTTTTTTTCGTTAATTTTAGTAAATGGCTGAAATAAATAAACTATTTGGAGTGTTGCCAACTAATCTTGGTGATTAAGATGTCTAATTTGGTGGTGAGCAAAACGTACAGTCCTGATTTAAATTAACCGTACAAAACGAGCAACATTGGAAAATTCAAACGCGTTGTTCTCAACATGGGTTAAGATTAGACAAAAAAAAGACGAGCGCAAAATTTGCTGAGAATTATTATCGTGCAATTCATTTTTCGATATTGGCCACTTTGGCTTATTCATTTTGGGTCATTTTGGCTTTTTTCAGTTAGTCAAGAATTACGCTTAAACTACCACATTAATTGATGAGAAACTTATATGATAAGAAACCTCTTACACAGCTAGACAAACTTTTAGCTGGGTAAAATTTTCAAAAATCTCCAGATGAATATATTTTTGCTTGATAGCCAAAAGAGTCATTTCTATTATATAAAACTCCAAATTTTTGCTTGAAAACAAACTCTCAACATTTTGCAGAGCTGTCTAAGATGCGTTTTTTGATATCAGTTTATCATCCATTATTGAGGTAGTTTTTTGGGTAATTCTTGATTAACTAAAAACGCCAAAATGAAACAATTTTGGGGCGAAATCTCGGTTGCGATTTTCGAAAATTGAAATGCATCATAATAATTCCAGTGAAGTTATAAGCAATTTTTATTCACTTCTGTTTTGAGAAAAACGTATTTGATTTTTCAAATTTTGTTAGTTTTGTCCGGATAATTTAACTCGGCATTGTCTCTCATGTGCATGCTTTTTGGTAAGATAGATTCGAGTTCGTTTCTCAGTCGAAGTAGACAAAGCAGAGAGACAAAGCGAATTTTGCAAAAAGTCAACAAAATGTATGAGCAATAGAATCTCGAATGTTCAATCAGGAGCAGGCTGACTTTTTTTGTTCTAAATTGTCTGATAGCAATACTGAATAAAAAATGATATCAACAGTGGTTAAAAAGCACTAACCAGAGCTGCTCAAAAACAGTCAAGTCCTTAAGCGAAATTTCACAACCTAAAGGATTATTTAATTTTTCTAGTCCTCTATAAGCATTTGAAGTATTTTTTTTTGAATTATGACCTTTAATCAGAGACACCACGATTTTCTTAATTCTGACTTGTCTGTTTTTTTTTTCGTGCAGCTTTTGGAAACCTCCATTTATTTCCCTAAAAGAAGCAAAAAAAGCTTTGTAAAGCAGTCTTCAGACAGCTTGCCATTTCTTATAGTGTCAATTAACGACCTGAAGAAACTTATCTAGGCCCTGTTGATTAATGAAACTTGTTCGCCCTCAAGTTGAGTTGTATTTCATATAATCAATTCGAAATGATTTGCTAAATGAAAAATTGCTAGTGGTCCAGTTTTCTCGAACTAAGTTATCTTTATCAAAAAGTCAAAGATATATGTTCTTTGAATATCGAAAGGTGAAACTTTCAAAAAAAATGGCCCACTTCAGTATCTTTGAGTTTCTTGATAATTTTCCAACTGTATGTTGGCCAGGATCTTTAAAATGGAAATTTGATCATATTTACGCTTGCAACTAGCAAGTGTTATTAAATCGTTTTTTTTTTGGGCTAGCGACTTGCTCAAATAAATCGCTTGATTTATGATTAATTCAAATTTCTCGGCAACGGCACTTGGCCTAGAGGGACTGACTACTACGCCTCTGACAGCAAAGTGCTTAGGTTCGAATCCGAACAGGACCTCTTTTTTTCAGACCGAAAATATTCAGTTTCAAAAAATTGTCGGCCTATCTTTTGTCTGATAATTTTTAGCCACCGGTTTTGTCGGCTCAATTGCCACTTCATGAATTTGTTTTTTTGCTGAAAACATTGTTGCCGCTCTAAGTGTTCTTGATTTACTACCTCTTATTTTGTATATTTTCGTGTTTTTTTTCCACTTAAACGCTGAATTCATCCTAAGATGTTTCAACCATCTTTTATCGGCTCAGAGACCTTATTTCAGTCGTTTGAAAGGAAAAAAATTTTGCACGCCTCCTCCCTCAAAAACACAAGAATATTAAGTTTTATAGGTTCAGTTCTTAATTTCTGAGCTTAATTGCTCAACATTTTTACAATATTGTTTTTGGCTAAACGGGAGTTTACCCAAGTTTTGTCGGTTTGTGGCTGCTCAATCAATTTTTCTGAATGCTTATTTAACGTTGACAATACAAACGCGTTTTCTAAAATTGAACTTGAGTCGAAGCAAATTTATGAAGTTTTTGTAATTGTTGTTTTTTGGCTAATAGACTTGAATCCTGTTTATTCAACATGCGGAAAAAAAATTATTATTTTCACCCTAATTTGGTATTGTTCCATAGGTTGGTTGATCTTTTCATGCAAAATCGGCAACCTCGAATAAACGAGAGATGGTGTCGAGTAATACATCATTCTCCTATATCTACTACAACTGAAATTTTTCCAAAAATCTAAAAGTTCGATTTACTGACACGCAAAGGTTGCCGTGGTCTGAATATTATGTGGCACTAGAACAATGACCGGTTACTGCTCTTGAGGTCCAAAATGGACTGCTTTAAAGATCGTAACGAATATTTAATCATAATCTAGCGAAACTTCAAAATAACCCTGCTTTGATTTATACTATTCATTTCTCATAAAATATTGCTTCGTGTCTATAATGTAGGATACTTCCTGCAAATCAAATGATTTGGTTTTTTTTTCATTCACCAATTGTTTTTCAATGGAAGGCTAAGTTTCCTGATTTCTGACGGAGGTTACGTAGCTCATTGAAACTGCGGTTCATCAACACAACCTATGCTGGTAATCTAGATTATTCATACAGCTGGTTTTTTTGAATAAAAAATGCAGAGCTACAATGAAGTTTATATAAAAGCAAATTCTAACGGTAGTTTCACGTTACAGTATTCATTAGTTGCAGGTGCATGTTAGTTCCGGTTATCATAAACAGAAATCGAAACCAGTTTTTTCCAATCAAGCTTTTAAACCATTTTCAAGTTATTTAGAAATTTTTGTTCATTTTTAAATTACGATAATTGGACAATCATCCTTACAAAATTGAAACAATTGCATCTGTAATTTATCTTTTCTTTTATTTATCTTTAAGTTATCTTAAATTTATCTTTTATTCACCATGATGCGTTACGAAGAAGCGAAAGTTGAACGGCCATACACATGGCGATGGTGGAGGAGTTTTATTACTTATCTCTGGCATGTCAAAAAATTCGCGATGAAACTCTGGTAGGTGAACCATTGTGATAAAAACCTCATGCGTTTTTTCAAATATACGTAATCATAATAAAATGTCATTTGATCTCTACATTTTCTTAATGACTAGTCAAAAATGCGATCAAATTTTTATACAAAACGAGCACCAAACGTACAACTGCTGTAATAATTATAACGAATTCGTTATAATTAGGCCAAACTCAGAGCGAAAAATGGCTCACATTATAATTCTGAATCAACGAATAGCCGGCAAAAGTAATATATAAACAAAAACACTTTCAAAAAAATTATTTACTTTGTACTTAGTTGATAACTTAGTTACAGCGTTTGTTGTTGTAAGTAGTAACCAGACTGATGTTCAAAAACTCAAACCGAAAAGGAATCTTTTTACTTGTTTTTTTTTGACAAAATCGCTTGCAGCTTTCGAATTTTGAACGAGTGGGAACTTCAGCGTTTTTTGTCAAAATTACATATACTAAGCAGAGCTCTCCGAAAGAATATTAGATTGGCGAACAAAGTTGAAATAAAAACAAGACCGAAGAAGCGGACAAAATTTAAAACCACCAAAAACGACTCCACCCTAATTCAATCTCACCACAGCCCCTTCCCCCCCCCCCAGCGCTATAAAAACATTTGAGATATCCGTTAAACATTCCGAATTCGTTTTTGAATTCAATTAATGGTCTGGTTGCAACTGAAAGTTAGAAAATATCTTTCGAGCTTTAGTTTACCTTTGCAAATTAAGTTTCAACATGGGGGGAGAGAAAGAAGAAGAGGAAGAGGAGGAGGTGGGACTGAAGGCCAAAGTAGTGGCGGCCATCATCCTCCTCTGTCTGCTGAGTCTGTGCCAGAGCTTCACCGTCTACTCCAAGAACCTCTACATAATCTATATTGAGAAGGACCAGTCCCAAGGCCAGAGTGAAATTCAACTATTCCAGGGGGGACTGTTTTCAAACTGCGAGGTGTTCTACTATGGCTCAGACGGAGATTTGGAGGAAATCTTCAATTGTAAGTGAAAGTCATCTCTTGCTCTTATAATTTAGTGCAATGATTTGCTCTTTAACCCCCCCCCCCCCCCCACCTAAAAAATGTTACTAGTAAACTTACCGGTCGCATTGTCCGATTGTTACAAAAATTGTTATGCAGACTTATTGGGCCATGATAAACATATTTTTCCTTGTAAAATCCCTCGGTACACCATAAATTTGATGCGTATGTGAGGTGGGGAAAAGGAAAAAGAGAGCCCAATGATTTAGCTGGGTTTGAATTTTAACTAAATTGCGTGGATATTGTGTGGGGACGCTGTAATCCAGTGAAAACAAATAGGCTTTTTGCATGGTCAGAGTTGAAAAAAGAATCAAAACTTTTCCTCAACCAAACGGAGTTTCCGAATTCGCACAAAGCAATAGAAAGAATATATTTTGACTATGCTTGGACGTTGTATGCGAACAAAGCGTTCTTATAATCTTATTGGAATCTCGTTTTTTCGGCGCGCTGCTTCTCAACTTTAATGTCTTGACTAAATCCGATACCAACAGAGCTCCTGGTTTTAAACTGTCAGTTCAACGATGTTTGCTCGAATTATTTTATTTTTAAATAGGTATATATTTTGTAATTTAAGTATGTTTATTTGTTTAATGATAACAGGTCCGGACTCCGTTACAATCCAGTTTGCTCAAGCGTTCTTCATTCTGGCCAACTTTGCTGGAGTGTTTTTGGTTGTGTGGTATGTGTGCATGCTCATCTGCACTGGGGCCAAGTGGGAAGCAAGACTCAAATCCAAACTCCCACTCATATTCTCATTCGTATACTGTGAGTATCAAACTATTATAGTGTTTGATGATAATAGTTCTTTGTAATTGAAGGCGGACCAAACTATTATCTTTATCCTCCCAAAATTATACTGCTTTGATTTCTCAAGTTCTATACATATCTTCGTATTATTCAGTTTCTGCCAATCAGATTCAAGTATTATAATCCAATTTGCAAAAAGCAAAACATGAAGTTTGGGATGTAAAATAGAAAAGACCTTTCATTACAGTATGTTGTAGCGGAAGGTCTTTTCTATTTCACATCCCAAACTTCATCTTTTTGGTAAGTTGAAAACTGGAAATATTATTTGAATCTGATTGGCGGAAACTGAATCATACGAAAATATAAAAAGAAAATGAGATACCAGAGCTGTATATTTTTGGGAGGATAAAGATAATAGTGATGAAGGGAGGCGGAGCAATAAGCAGAATGGTCCAAGTGCAGAATGGGTCCAAGAGCAGAAAAACAGAAAAATATTGACTTATATTGGTTTATACGGGCTAATTGATAAAACAATTATTAGAATCGTAAAAAAATACCAAGAAAACGAATAGATTATGCATGAAGAGATTAATTTCATTAAGTTTTTTGATCAAATATTTCAAAAAATTCCTGATTAAATTGCTCAAATTATGCATAAAATGTTCGTTGCTTTGCTATTATTGACGCTTCTGATAATTATTTTACCGATTAGCTTATAGAAGTTGATATTTTTCTATTTTTCTGCTCTTGGACCCATTCTGCTCTTAGACCATTCTGCTTATTGCCTGGCCACCGTGCTGACGTACAACAGTGCCGAAAATCAAAATGTTGTTCAACAGTGCCGGAAATTATTTTTACTATACTGTTTTTACTTATACGAAATCACTGACAAGTAATTATATTCAAATGGACGGAAGCTGAAAAGACAAAAATGGGCGTCTTAACTGATGCCGCTAGTTAATCAAACAAAAGTTCCCCAAGTGAGCGCGGCGTCTTTGATTTTTCTGAATTAACAATTATATCAGCAAATTGTCTTCTCGGTTTCGCTCCGAATCAAAACAGCATTCACTCAAAAAGACACTTCATGCAAAACTAGCTTTGCACAAAACAGAAAAAGTTTTCACACAAAAAGAACTCAAAGTTTCCTAAGTTAATTCTTCCATCCTCATGCTTGAAAACAAAAACTTCAAAGAAGGCTACTTTTTTAACAACTTCATAAAGTGTAGCTCATTTGCTCTTGTTCTATGGAAAAATAAGTTTCTTCGAAAAGAGGCAATTTACAGAGTAAAACCCAAATTTGCGTTTAACGTCCACTTGTGTCAAAAAGTTAATTTTGCTGAACAATTAAGCTCTCTTCAACGCTATCACCACCTTGCAATTTGAATTTTGAAAACTAGTTTTAACGATGTCAGGACGAAAAACAATTTGGAATGGTGACAAAGTAGCAATTCAGAACAGATTCATTCTGATACCTGACATCATAACATCACGCGTTTAGCCACAATAACACGTAAAACAACTATAAAAAATCGTTAGGGTGAAAAAGAAAATAGTCTTTAAAACATGTGCCAAATCGAAATGAGTTCAAAGCAGGTATGAACAATTTCAAAGCCGCGAAATCTTAATGCAACATCCCTGTGAAGTAAATAGTCAAAAATTAAAATATGAAATTGAAGAAATGGGAATGTGCAGGAACTGCTCCACCTTCAAAACCCTTCAAACTGGGTACCACAGTATGGGGAGCGGGGTGATAGAAAATGTAAACACCTTTCAATGTGACTTCCACGTTTTTTTTTAAAAATCAATTTAAAGTTCAACAAAATGCCGACAATTTAGATGAAATTATGTCAACAATTTAATAATTTGGAAAGAATTAAATAAGCTAGTGCATATAAATACTCAACACCACGGTCTTTGTTAAAGTTAATGGCAATGTTTTGGATTTTTACTTGGAAATTGCTATTTCTTCCGACCCGGCATCTCCATCCCTTCATAGACTTCAATGTTTTTCAAAGTTCTGAAATATACAGCCATGGTTTGTACGAGGGGACAGGTTCGCGTATTTTCCAAAACTTTCAAAAAGCTGGCAACTTTACTTTTAAATCGTCGCATTTTTTCTTTCTGAGAATCCCTCAGTGGTGAAAGACCACTATTATTTTAAAAAGTTCCGCCACGCCAAGTTCTTTAACGTGCTCTCACTTGAATTTTCGTTGATAAATGCGCCGACTGGTCGGTCAGCTGCCTGAAGACTAAAGCTATTTTTTAAATCGCTTTCAGGTATGTACTCTTTTAGCTTAATGGGAGCTAGCGAGTTTTCAATGCTCAGGAGATCTTAACTGTTATACCCACCCTATTGTACCCCCTATGGTACCTAGTAAGAAAAGCTACCAATATTAAGGATGAATTAACTGGATGATTATATGCCTATTTTACACCTATTAACGAATCCCTTCTGTTGCATTATGAAGTGGATAGTGAAATAGATCCCATGCTCTCTTACAAGCTTAGTGTCAGAAAATGACGTTAATCATCGGTTTTGTTTCTGATATTCTCTAGCCCTGCTTCTCTGTATCGGTTGTTTGTGCTTCACAATCATGCTCATTCAAGAGGGCTTCAAAATCCACTGGGCAGGCTACGTGGCATGGGCCGCCTTTGGGGAGGCATTCATCGCAATGGTAGTGGCCATCACTCTACCCTCAATCGAAGACGAGGAAAAAGAAAAGAACAAAGATGACTCCGAAGCCATAACTGGCGACGACCATCAATCAGCGAACAAAGTTGTGAATACTAGTTTATAACAGATTCGAATGACTTTCCGAATTTGAGTGTAACTTCAATAAGTATGTTTAGTAACCGGGTGTTTAGCTATTAATAAAAATTTCAAAAAGCAAAAGTTTAAAATAAGTAATCTGAGATTCAAGGTTCAATAAAAAAAGGGTTGGAAATTTTCATTGCATAAGCGGCTACGCCCTAATTTTTGTAGAAAAAAAAGTGTTATTGCGATAGGAAAAGCGCAATTTTTGTTGATACTTTGATAGTTTTTGACATGTTTTCTACAAAATATCATTCTCGAATCTGGATTTCATTGAAGGATTATGCTGAATTATTTTCAGTGCAAAAGTGGCCACACTCATTTTTGTTATGAAACATCAGACACTAACCTTCCATATTTTAAATGAAAAGGGCAAACGATTTATGGAGATCTTCCTTGGATAAGCTTTTACGCCCTAATTATGGTTGCAACAAGACTATGGATTAGGGACAAATCCAATTATTATCATTTTGATTATTTTTGTAATTTTTTTCTCGAATGCTACTCTCCCATGTATTTGACTTAGTGTTCAAATGAAACAATAGGTTTTGAGTAGGGTTTTTCCCTGCTTAAATCATTTTCTACAATTTTGGCAGGAAAAACGCTATGATCGTGGGAAAAATCAATTTTTTGTAGTTTTAACCAGTTTTTTGAATTTTTTTGCGCGTTTCTCAAGCGTACCCTGGCGGTTCTGGGATTCGAAGTTCATCTAAAAAATTGAAAATTTTTTTGCTGCTTAAGCTATGGCTCCCTTATTTAAGTAGGTAAACCGCTATGGACTGCAAAAACAATACTAAGCCACCTTTTTCAGTACAAGTGTCTTAGTAATGTTTTTGAACGTTTAACAGAAAATATATACCAACAATCAAATGGAAATCAAGAAGTACACAAATTTTAGTACAAAGTGAGAAAATGGTTTATGCAGGGAAAACTCCACTCAACATTCGGGATTGAAGGTAAAATTAGTTAACAGGCTTTAAAACACATGTGTCTGATGCAAACGCGAGAGGCTCAAGAATTCGAAGATCTCAAAAATAAGTCAAAATTATCTCTTTTTCTCTTTTCAAGAATTCTTTTCAAGAGTAATGAACTTAGTGAGTACTCTTACATAGTTTGCAGATTTTTTTTGTTTTTTTTTCAGGAAAAAATTCTAAAAGTTGACCATCAATTTTGATTTTTCGCGATTTTACTTGTGATTTATTTTTAGGTTCAATCAGGGGCGGATCTAGGATTTTCTCGAGGGGGGGGCGGATTTTCAAAAAATTTTCGAAAATTTTGACGACTTTTTTTTTTTTATAGGTCGATCAGATTGATTTACCGAGCTCTTCCAGAGCAGTAAAAATACCCTGTTTTGGCCAAATTTTCTGCGCCGCAGGCAATTTTTTGAAAAAACAGGTCAAAAACGCCATTTTTGGGCACTTTTTGGAAAATTTTGACAAAAAAAAACGCGTTTTTTTGGCGCGCGCTCCCCCTCAAAATTAGTATATATTGGCGCCGAAGGTGCCTTTAGAAAAATTTTAGGGGCGGTCGGCCAAAAATGGATTTCTTAAAAAGTACCAAAGGGGGGACCCTTTGGGTTGGCAGGGGTTCGAATCCCTGAGGAAGGGGCGTCCGCCCCCCCCCCTAAATCCGCCCCTGGGTTCAATGCATTTCTATTGTTAAAGGGAAGGCAAATTCCGCTATCGAACAGCAAAATTGTAAAGATCACGAAAAACGTGATCAACTTCTAATTTCGAAAATGGAAATTATTCATCAGGTTTCCCAGCGAAATAAAAATTTTACCTATTGAGCCAGTTTTCTCAAATTGGGTGAGTTTTAACAAAAAAGTGTCGACCATTGAATTTTTTTGAAAAAATATATCGGTTTTTTCCCAGTTTCTTTGCGTTCATTACTCTTTTTCAACTGTCCGTTGACTATGTTTTTTGGAAATGACATATGATATCAACAAAAGAAAAACTGATGAAAGAAATAAACAAATGAAAAACTACTCTGGAGCTCACAAAATTTTTTAAAAGTGGTTCCGAGCTCGAAAAGCCAGACAACTGTGGAGGACCTGGAGAAAAAATATACACAAAAGAAGTAAACAGATCCGAACGCCAAAACATTTTTTAAATCTCAATATTTTGTGAACTCTACATCTTTTCAACTGTTATTTGTTTTTGTTGGTTTCTTTAGTTTTGTTAGCGTATTTGGATTACATTTATCAGCTCTATTTTTTTTACTTTTAGAACTGCCAGCTTGAATGTTTTCCAATTTTTTCGAGCAGTGCTAATGTGTCAGCAGATTCAAAAGTGCGCGCCCAGTGAAAAAAGCTGTCGAAATAGAAATATGCGAGCGATAATATTGTTGCAATAACTTTGCGTTTAACTTTTTTTTGGCCTCAAAAAATTGATAATAGATATCCTCTCTCAAAAAAAGTGTATCCAATTGAGTGGCGTTCTCCGATATTAAAAAAATAATAGCTGAAATGGCACTATTTAATTATTCTTCAATTGATTTTCGAATGACTGAGTCCATATTTTTTGCTTCTATTGTTTTTCTAATCTATTTGAAACGCCTTTTAGTTCCTGGATCTATTTAACAACTACCCCCGTGCAAGATAGGGGTTAATTGTTATGTTATTTAGTTTTGAATCCACTGCCATAGTAGCACGCCAAAAAATATGTATTTAGGCTGGCATTTTCAAAGTAAAAAAAGTCAAAGTAGAGCAATATTCATTCAAAAACGGTTTAACGTTCGGGTCTCTTATGCTTTGGCGGTCGAATCTCTTCAGGTCTCCCGTGTCTATTTCTTTCTCCAGGTTTTTCAAATATTTCTGGTTTTTCGAGCTCGCAACCATTAGAAAATGTTTTCAAAGCTCAAGACTAGTTTTGTTATTGTTTATATCATTTGTCATATTTATTTCCACAGTAAAACGGACGTTATCAAACCGGAGTATAGACGTTTTTCTGGTTAACAACTAGTTTAACAGCATCACTTGAATCATTTTGATTTACGTTTACTAGAAAACAAAAATCAGAAGTTAATTCGTGCAAGTGGCGAAAAGCCAACGCACATGCCGATAATTACAAAGATCAATGGTTCGAATCTTTGCAGGACCTTTTGGTGAGCGGAAAGTTGTCAGCGCGTCAAAAAATTTTGTCGGACTTAGTTTGTCTGCTTTTTTGTCGGCTTTTGTGTCGCAGCGTTAAAGTGGTCTAAAGTTGGTCCTTTTTCATTCAATTAAAAAAAAACTTTTCAAAGTATCCTGGTTTTGAGCAAGTAATTGAGTTCCAAGAAGTTTTGACTGTTTTGTTATGATTTTTTTCACGCTGTTCAATAAAAAAAATCAGTTGTTTTCTTTATAAATTCAAGGAGTGTTTTTGGTGCAGTGGTTATACCCATGATTGAGACGACAAATCCCAAAAGTTCGATTCTGCCCTGAACTAAACAAGTTTTTGGGTTTTCACCTTTTTTAACCTTGATCATTTTGACTTTTCTCAAGAACTAATCTCCCTTATCTGAAGATTTTGTGTTTAAACGAAATCACAGGTTGCTTGAGTTTTTTATGCATAAATGGTTACGCTCAATTTGTTCGCAAAAAACTTCACACAAAGTTCAAATTTTGATGTTGACCGTGTTTTGGAGTTTTTTTCACTTCTCTTGGTAACTATCCCGCCAGTTCCGATACCATGGACTTAATCAGATCAACAATTGTTCAAAAACTGCCGGCATAAAAAGTCACTCCCAATTTTTTTTAGAAATAAGTTAAGCTTTTCAAAAATCTCAAATAGAAAGTTATGAATTTCGGAACTTTTTACCATTTTGTTATAAACTTGAATTTTGGTAACAACTGCCCGATCAAAATTGAGATGAAGTTCTTAAGCGAAAGAATTGGTTATAGGTTTTTTGGAAAAGCTACGGCCTAACTTCTTGTAAAAATGTTATTTCGTTGAAGTGAGTAATTCCAACTATCTTGAAAATTTTCACTCATACATATTTTGGTAGAGAAACAAGTAAAATATAATGCAAAAACCAATTTTTGATGTTACGCATTTCGAATTTAAAAAAAAAACAAACGCGTACTTGCAGCCTTAGCTGGGCCTCTAGTTGTCTTATCGAGACGTACGAAAGTTTTGCTTCACCCATTTTGTTAAACATTTTTTAATATTCTCCACATAGGTTAGTTATGTTTTTATTGTATCGCAAGTGGTGCGAAGCTCCGTTTAGTATCTCCGTTTAGAAGTTTGGTTAAAAAAATTCTCTTGTGACCAAAAAAAGTGAAAAAACAAGTGATTTTGACTATTTTCTGAGTTCTTGCGAATTCTTGAGCCGCGCCGCATTGACATAGGTGGTTTAAAGCGTGTTAAGCACTTTTACACCTTCAATCAAAAAGTTTATGACTTGAAAACTAAGCTAAAATCGCACCAGTTTTCAATTAGATGGAGGCTGATTATTTTCATATCGATAAAAGTGCAAAAAAAATTGCGTCTCAATTTAGTCACATTCCTTTTAGTTTAACCAAGTTTCTGTCCCTATCTGTCCGTAAAGTAAGATTATGTTTATTACACTGGGAACCATTAAGCGCTGGAGTAACTTGTTTGATATTTTTTATGAATATATTGTACTGGTGCAATGATACAGCGCATTGAAAACCAAACATTTTCCTTTGGTCTAAAAGTTCATTAAGTTAATCGAATTTTTGACCAATCTGATCGCAGCAATCTTGAATTTTCAAAACAAAGCTCTAGCGCTAAATTATTGTATTTATTTATTGGATTGGCGATTCTTTAAGTAGATAGTCCAGAATAGACGCGCGATTTTTCTCAGTGCTGGTTTGATTTTTTTTTCTTAAAAGGCGTCACAAAAATAAACATTACTGGTTACGAATTTTGAAAACTGATTGAAGAACCACCAACTGACATTTTTTATTTATTTTTGTCATAAAAATTGCGTTCATGAAATCTAAAGTCAAATTTAAGCATTTTAAAAACCATTTACTATTTTTTTGGAAAAAAAACAAAGTTGTTGGTTTTCAATTATGCTAGTCAGAAAAATCTTTTTCTTGAAATCAAATGTCAAATTTTAGCATTTTAGAAACCAATGACTATTTTTAAATCAAAATTGACAGTTTTCAATTATGCTAGTCAGAAACATCATGTTCATGAAATCTAAGGTCAAATTTTAGCATTTTAAAAACCAATAACTATTTTTTTGGAAAAAAAATACAAAATTGTTTGTTTTCATTTATGCTAGTCAGAACTATCATTTTCTTGAAATCTAAGGTCAAATTTTAGCATTTCAAAGACTAATGACTACTTTAAAATCAAAATAGACAGTTATTTTATATGCTAGTCAGAAGCATCATGTTCATGAGATCTAAGGTCAAAGTTTAGCATTTTAAAAACCAATTACTATTTTTTTTGGAAAAAAAACAAAATTGTTAGTTTTCATTTATGCTAGTCAGAACTATCATTTTCTTGAAATCTAAGGTCAATTTTTAGCATTTTAAAAACCAATGACTATTTTTTGGAAGAAAAAAAAACAAAATTGTTAGTTTTCTTTTAGGCTAGTCAGAAATATCTTTTTCTTAAAATCTAAGGTCAAATTTTAGCCTTTCAAAAACCAATGACTATTTTTAAATCAAAATTGACAGTTATTGTATATGCTAGTCAGAAACATCATGATCATGAAAGCTAAGGTCAAATTTTCGCATTTTAAAAACCAATTACTATTTTTTTGGAAAAAAAAAACAAAATTGGTAGTGTTCATTTATGCGAGTCAGAACTATCATTTTCTTGAAATCTAAGGTCAAATTTTAGCATTTCGAAAATCATTTACTATTTTTTTTGGAAAAAAAGTAGTTCGTTTTTAATTATGCTAGTCAGAAATATCTTTTTTGTTGAAATCTAAGGTCAAATTTTAGCATTTTAAAAACCAATGACTATTTTTAAGTCAAAATTGACAGTTTTCTTTTATGCTAGTCAGAAATACCATGTTGATGAAATCTAAGGTCAAATTTCAGCATTTAAAAAACCATTAACTATTTTTTTAGAATAAAAAGTAGTTAGTTTTCAATTATGCTAGTCAGAAATATCTTTTTTGTTGCAATCTAAGGTCAAATTTTAGCATTTTAAAAACTATTGACTATTTTTAAATCAAAATTGACAGTTTTCCTTTATGCTAGTCAGAAATACCATGTTCTTGAAATCTAAAGTCAAATTTAAGCATTTTAAAAACCATTTACTATTTTTTTGGAAAAAAAAACAAAGTTGTTGGTTTTCAATTATGCTAGTCAGAAATATCTTTTTCTTGATATCTAAGGTCAAATTTTAGCATTTTAGAAACCAATAACTATTTTTAAATCAAAATTGACAGTTTTAATTTATACTAGTCAGAACGATCATGTTCATGAAATCTAAGGTCAAATTTTAGCATTTTAAAAACCAATTTTTATTTTTTTGGAAAAAAAACAAAGTTGTTAGTTTTCAATTATGCTAGTCAGAAATATCTTTTTCTTGAAATCTAAGGTCAAACTTAATCATTTTGAAAACCAATGTTTGTTTTTAAATCAAAATTGACAGTTTCCATTTATTTTAGTCATAAATATCATGTTCATGAAATCTAAGGTCAAACTTTACGATTTTGAAAAACCAATGGCTATTTCTGGAAAAAAATCAAAACTGATAGTTTTCATTTATTTTAATCATAAATATCATGTTCATGAAATCTAAGGTCAAACTTTACCATTTTGAAAAGCCACATTTACCATATTTTTTTACAATCGTAGTCTGGTCTATTAGCATATCGGTATGACGAGTATAAATGGAGAGCAGTTGATTTCAAAACTATAAGTTTATTTTATTTATTTCGAGCGCAAAAGTGAAGCAGTTTCCTTATTTTCAGTTTTTGTCTTAAAATGATGATTAACTCAGTGAGTAGGAGTTTGAAATAAAAAGCAAGTCAGAAGTATAGTCTAGAAGTGTCAGTTTCGGCTCAGTTGGAGTTAGGCTAACAGAGACTGATAGAGAGAAGAGAGGATGAATGTGGCTGCCAGAAGTGATCCAGACGTATTCACGATTTGGCTTCCACTAAAAGCAAATTAATTTGAGTCATAATTAACAAAAAAGTTAAATATTAAAAACTGAAATAAAATTCCTCGAAAGTTTAAATAACTACAACTTAAGTAACTAACTACAACTTAAATAAGTAAGTTTTTACTAACTAATACTTAAATTAAAGCGTTATGAGTCAAGAGTATTTTTCTTTTACTTTAATTTAAAACTCAAGTTGATGAAAATATTATTTTCATATACAGTATATGATATATGAATAATATATTTTCATCAACTTGAGTTTGAAAAAAAAACAGGCTAGCAATAATGTTTTGAACACAAAATTTCACTCAAAAATGGCGTGTTTTCGGCGCGCTCCACTCTCAAATTTAGTTAGATTGGCGCCCAAGGCGCCTTAAGAAAATTTTTGAGGTTAGTCAGCCAAAAATGGATGTCGTAATATTATACTACATTGATACAACTGATAGGGAGCGACCTCAAAAACGCCCCCCCCCTCCCCCTCGTCACGCTACTGCATATACTAATTCCAATTCTAATTTAATGCTCTGTGTTTTACTGAAGAATGTCATAAATTATATGCGTCGAGCCAGAAAATTAAGTTTCAAGCAGAAAGTATTCTAACTGTCTGGAAAACTTAAAAAAAAAACAGTTACAGCGAAAGGAAAGTCTAATAATATAATGATAAACATATGATAGAAGCTAAAAAAAATTTTTTATGACTCCAGTTTTGAACCATGATACCAAAAAAGAGATACAAAAGTGGTATATATCATTTTTGATTTTTGCTCAGATTGTTCAGCAAGGCATTCATCGAAATAATCGAAAATCTCCCACAATTTCTGGTTGTAAAGTTCCTCCAAAAGGTCCATCTTAAATACTATTTCATTTTTCTTCGTGAAACCCTAACTTTTTGGTCGAAACTTCCAAAAAGGGCGAACACGGCACTTTCAAGCAAACGATTGCCAGTGGTGCCCACATTCGTTCCCAACATGCCCGTTCTACCGTTTCGGAAGAGCTCAAAAAGTTCGATACTGCTGACCTAAGAAAAGATCGACAAAATTTTTTTAACGCTATCCTCCCCATCGACAAAAAAACCCTACGCAACGCCTATGTAATTAGAGTTACTCCAGTTATCAAAAGAATAGCAAAGTTTTTCTTTTTTAGGGAGAACCACCAGCGGACTTAGGGGATATCCATTTTTGGCTGATTGACCCTAAAATTTTTCTAAGGGTGCCTAAGGTGCCAAAATCTAAACTCGAGGGGGAAGCGCGCACCAAAAAAAGACGCAACTTTTTGGTCAAAATTTTCCAAAAAGTGCCTAAATCCGCTATTTATGGCCTGTTTTTTTTTCAAAAATTATAGTGATTTCGGAGAGCTTAGAAAAAAGTTTTAAAAAAGCACCCCCCCCCCCGAGAAAAAAAATCCTAGATCCGCCCCTGGGGAGAAGTAGAAGAAGTATTGCGGGCAAAATTGAGATCTTTTTAGTTATCCAGTCCAAATGTGAAAATTATTATGAGAAAGGATGTAAAAAGTTTAGTATGACAGAGGATGTAAAATATTGGTAATTAAAGTCTGATCTTGTAGATAAATTACTGAGGTGGCTAAAAAGTTCCCACAGTTATGATGATTATTATTTCAATAATTTGAAATTTAATGTTAAAAATAAATCAAAATTACCCGCGAAGACATTTCCCCTCTTCCTTGTCGCAGGTTCCTGGGATAACTATCTTCTCAGTGTCTTTATAAGTTACACACGTCGAGTCATCCTTGCAATCTAGCGGGTTCCTGTTAATTTAGTTACTGCTCAGCTTGAACATCGAAGTTTGGAACAGATTTTAAAAAGTGATTCAAAAAAGAGACTGACAGCTAATCTCTGGTTTACGGGATGAAGCGATTGGTTAATGAAACAGATTTTTTGAATCTACAGCCAATGAGAATCATGTATGTTACGTAAAATCAAACGCAAATGCGCTTTAAATAGTTAGTTAATTGCACATTTAGCCAAAAAATACTTAATCGGATTGAGTCTTTCGACTATTTGCTTTATTACACTAGCAATCAACTTAGTGTAATATTACAAACTTTTTTTTCTAACCTAACTCGCAAATAAAAGCGTTCATTGAAAGTGTTCACTTATTTGCGAGTTTCACTGTAGCATTACAAATTGCATAGCTTCTGCTCTCTGCTTTTTTTGTGGCTGTGTTTTGTGCATGTGAAGCGTCTGTGGCTGAGTGATTAGTGAGTGAGAACGTGGCCGAACGTAGCCGACTTATTACTAATCGAGGCTAATTTCTAATTTTTCTTATTGCACTTTATAGTTCTTGCTAGTGTTAAAACACTGATATATACTTAAAACTCTTCCATGATTCTATGAATTCTTTTTATAGGTCTCAATTGATTTTATGTTCTGGTAAAAAGACACAGATATCAATTTATTCGAAATATTCTAAAAGCGGTCTGAATAAACATTACAGGTAAACTTTTAACGAGTTGCTTATGGAATACGATTGATTTGTAACAAAAAGTTGGCAATCATATCTAATGACAGAAAAACTAGAAAGCGAGAAGCGGTAAACTCCGAACGGGTTGCAAGGAAAGTTCACTGTTTTTGTTTAAAGGTTGGAGATAATTGAGTAGATACGATAGGGTGATAGTTAAATATATTCAAAAAATGTTTCATTTTCATCAACCTAGCATCGAAATGGTGTCTATTTCCATGATTAAAGCGCTAAATAGCAAAAAAATTTGAACCTTTTGTAATTTTTCAAAACCTCAATAAATGCCTATTTGCCGGTCTATGAAAAAACAAATGCAATAAGACTGCTTGTATCAAGGCAAAGCCCTGAATATTTCGACTACCAGTTAAGCTCTACCTAATCTGCTATCTAGTCTGCTCTATGTACTCCTACTACTAGATAAGCACCGTGATATACCAAAATGACGCCTTTTTAAATATTATTTGAGCTGCGACAGAAATTTAGCTTCTTATAACACCTTAATAATAATCGAAGTCCTCAGTGATGAAAACAAAATATAGCAAAGCCTTATTTAATTTACTAGCAGCAACTGTATTTTCTTTTCAAAGCATTTTGCTCACCTCTTAGTAAGCATTTGTTGGAACGTTCCTTAAGTTCATTGCTGACATGCTCAACTCAAGAGTGCTCGTTCATCAGGGCAAAAATTTCACAGTTCTGACTGTACTTTAAAGCTAATTCAAAAATTTTTGTTGCGAAATTGATAAAATAGACAAAAAAATGAATTTATTGTCTTGTATCTTAGTGTTGAGACCAATATATTTGCCTCAATCCAATTTACAACGAAATAATCCGCCCTTCAAGTTCTTACAAGAGCGCAATTTTTTGCGCGTTACTCATCCAAAATTGGCCATTATAGCAAAATTAGCAAGTTTCAAACTCCCTTAACGTTACCCGCATCCAGCTTCAAGCGTTAATAAACGATTATATTACGATTTTAGTAACAGTGTTACTAAGATTGAGAAACAATCGATTTTAATCAATTAATGATTGATTATAATCTCTTTTTTTAAAATCAAATTATAATAATTATAATCCATTATAATCGATTTTAATCAATTATTTATTCGTCTATTTTTCGATACAAATATAATCAATTATAATTGATTATAATCCATTATTTTTATGAAAATTTCTGGTTCTTCAGTTTTGCACAAAAATCCTTTATAATTGATTATAATTGGTTATAATCCCGTTTCTTTGTCCATTTTGTCTTCGAAGTTGCATCTAAATTGCTTATGTTTTATGCTCTTTGTAGAAGTTGGTTTCTATGAAAAACGAGAAAAATATTTTTAAAATTTTACATTAATTCAAATTGTTGATTTTTTTTTTCATTTCTTCCCCATTAGAGTTGTTTTGTGATGCATATTTTAAGCTTTTTTAAACACCAAAAATCAGCAAATTGATTTTGTTTCATGATTGATTCGGAAGATTTATTTTCCATTTACCGCGGGAACCTTTCCACTGATATGAAAGGATCTCTCTTAAATTTTTGTTTCGTGGTAAAACTTTGTTTCAGATGAACCAAAGTGTTCAAGAGATCTCTTTTTTAGAGATTTTCTTATTGACACAAAAATAATAACCCATAAGGTATAATTCAAATATAGTTTTGAATTGACAAAATTTTGGCAAAATAAGAGATTGTAATTGATTGTAATCGATTATAATTGATTTTAAGGGTTTTTGTAAGAACTATAATCAATTATAATCAATTATAGGAGATTATAATCTTTTGAAAAATATCACGATTATAATCAATTATAAATTCTTTAAACCCCTAATTTTGGTAAATATAATTAATTATAATTGTCAAAAAATCATCATAATAATCCGTTATAATCGATTACTTACGCCTAAACTTGGATGCGGGTACGTATCAGCTCCTGGCAATGATAGTTTTTAGATGGCACAAATACATTTTTTGTTAAAAAGACGAAAATTATTTTTCGATTAGACGAAAATAAAAACCATCCGAAGCATAAATATTCCATTTCATTCGAACAAATGCTTTCGTATAACCCTTTCCCATAGCTCTTTAGCCGCTCATGGTGAAAAAAAAATGTTTTCGTCATAATCAAAGACATAAACTACGACTGTATTTAGCCTAGTTTTTCAGCATATATTATACAAGTTGTTGCTTAGTCGTAGGTTTAATTGATGCGGTTAGTGTTTTAGATTCGATAAAATGAGCACTTTTTAGAGCGTTTGTCAACTAGACTTTGCGTTAGTTTTTTTTACCTATGCGTTTTAACTGGAAGTCAATTCAGCAATTATTTTTGCTTAAGCGACCTCAAAGTGATGTGCATAAAAGTGATGTGCATAATTAAATCTTTTCATGGTATATCTGTTTTTGTGTCCAAATTTTTTTTCAATACTAATTATTATACTTTTACGGCTTTTTAGATTTTGGTTTAATTTTTTGAAAATCGTGCTCAATTATGCTCCATTAAAATTCTCATCAAAATATTTTCCAGATGTTTGTACTAAATTAATTCCCAATCCTTAGATATTGTCAGTTTAATACATTAAAGTGATGTCAACTTATAAATTAAAACATGTGAAACACTTCAAAAAATGCTCGTTAAATTTGCTCAATAAAGTCCGTTTGAGAAAAGCAAAGTTCAAAGCTTTGTTCATCTTGAAAACATTTTTGAAAACTTTAGCGTCTTTTTCATTTTTTTTTCAGTTTTTTCGGTTTCCTAATTTTTTTAATCAAATTGTCTGTCAGTTTTTCCAGAGGAGTTCTAAACCAGCTCAGGAAGTTATACGCTTATAGTCTGTTTTTTGATGTCATCTTTGATTAATATTAAGCATCGTTTTTATCTATTTTCTCAAAAATTTTAAGCTTCGTAGCTTCGGTCAAAACTCTTTTGGCGTACTCAATTCTCATCTGCTTATGAATTTCGCTTAATTTTAGCAATACGTAATTTTTTGAGATTATTCTTACAATTTTATTATAACAGTTTTTTTATGTTTATTGTAATTTTCTACTCAACTTTTGAGTTTGAAACAGACAAATTGATCCCTTATAATTTTTTTTGTTTTTTTTTCGATCTTATTAGTTTTAATCAAAATGGAACGTTTTAGACAGAATTGGAATTTTCAAAACAAAATCGGATCTTTTTAACCAAAATTTGAGTTTTTAATATTAAACCAGAGTTTTTAAGCAGAACGGGAACTTACGTTTTCTCGCAATCTTCGTTTTCCCTTATGCAATAGTTCCACTCTTTACAACACTTTTTTCCACTGGCACACGTTTGCTCTTTGTCTTTGCAGGCTTCAGCAGCTTCTGAGTTTTGGATTGTGAAGAAGACACAAATTGCCAGCACAAAAAATGCAGCTGTAGCTGAAATCGAGAAACTTGGTTATTTTGATCAAGTCTCTGTCCAGAGGCGGAGGATCTAAAATTCTCCTGAAGTGTTTTTCCAATACAAAACAATCGAACTTCTCAGAGTGACCAAATTGGTTTTTGTGGATCTTTTTAGAATCTAAGATTCACTGTAAGAGCGAGAACTGATTCTCCTGAAGTGTTTGAGTGCTGTTTTTCCAATACAAAACAATCGAAACTTCTCAGATTAACCAAATTGTTTTTGAAAATCTTTTTAGAACTTAAGATTCACTATAAGAGCGAGGACTGATTTTCCAAAATTTAAAACGATTTTAAATTTTGGACCAAATTCGTTTTTGGGGATCTTGCAGGATCTTAAGTTTTCAGAATATGCGAGGATGCTGGTTTCCCAAAAATACAATAGAAAATTCTTAGGTTGACTAAATGCTTTTTGGATTTTCTAGGAGCTAATATTCTCTGTAAATACGTGAATGCTGATTTATCAAGAACCAAATTGAAACTTCGTAGGCTTACCACTTTGGCTTTTGAGGATCTGTTTAGGATCTAAGATTCTCGGTAATTGCGAGGATGCTGATTGTTCGAAAACGAAATCGAAACTTCTTAGGCTGATCAAATTTATTTGCTGGATTTTTGGGATATAAGATTGAGTGTAAATGCAAGGATGCTCGTTTTCCGAAAACAAATTTGAGTTTTTTGGCTAATAATATTGGTTTTTGATATCTCCCAAAACACTAAAAAAAACCTCGCTTAGCCAAAAAAATTGAACTTCTCGCGAATTGTTGTCAAACTGACCACTTTTGAGGTTTTTTAAATGGCGTATACTCCGATATAGTTTTTTATTCGGGCACTCTCCCTGTAATAATAGTAATTTTTGTCGTTAAATACCAACAAAGAAGTGCCCTTTGAAACGCGAAATCAAAAAACTTTTTGCCTAATTTCTAATGAAAAAAAACCCAACCCCTCCCACCCCCCCCCCCTCAGGTATTTGACCCTCACCACTCAACCACTCAAAAAGTCTTCTCTTTGGTTTTATTTTACGATATCCATTTCGGCTGGCCGACTCTAAAATTTTTCTAAAAGTGCCTTGGGTTCCATTATGTAATAATTTTGTGCGCCAAATAAATGCAATTTTCTGGTCAAGAAACATTCCAATAAGTGCCTAAAAAGGGCTTTTGTGTCTGTTTTTTTTCGAATTACTACTTTTACAGTTTTTCAAAGAAAGAAAAATCATTTTTCAAAAATTTCAAAACAAAAATTTAACTTACCTCTCAACATTTTCGAAACTGAGTTTCTAGTGATCTAAATTTTCTGTTCGAAGCTGGTAGCGAAATATATCCGTCTGAAATGAGTTCTTTCTAATTTAATGGCAGCTTTGTGGGCTTCTTATCAAAAATAGACCCTATTTCTTGCTTGTCTTCAAACAAAACCCCATTTAGTCGCCATTTTTAAGAACTTTGAGTTACGACATTTTTTACGATCGCTAATTTGTGTCGTAAACTAAATTTTTACCATACTTGCAAAGAATTTTGCCTCTATTATCAACATTGTTGAGAGCAAACAGTGTGTGTTTGAAGTTTTTCCAATAATATAGACGAAAAGTCAGCACAAACACGTTTGAATTGAATTGAAAAGCAAGACCGATAAAAATTGACTTGTGACGAACAGTTTCAGTTTAGCGTAATATAATGAGAACAAATTAAGGAAATTTTAGAAAATTGGGCTATCGAGGCTGTTATCAGTTTTATGGTAAAGCTAAAAGTGATATAACATGACCCCAATAAATAGGACTTTCTTCACAAGGGGGTTTCTTCACAAGGGGGGTGTGAAGACACCTTAGTCTGTCTGCGAGACCGAGACGCATGTAGTGCGCTTTTAAGTTTATTGATATCTAGTGGCCAATTGTCAATAAGTAGGTTCAATGAATCACGAAACTACTTACTAAATTTTCAAAATATGTCATTCTTTTCCTATCGTAGCAAAGCCGAAAAAAACTTACTGTGACCATAAAACAAATCGTGATTAAACTCTCCCAATACTTTCAGACCGTACGGGAAGCAAAAGTTGTTGTGCTTGAAAACGTGTACCAAATAAAAGGGACTTGGTAACAACAACAAAAAAAAAACAAACAAACAAAAATTGAGACTGTCGTGAATGGAAAGATATTGTCTAGAACTTTGACTCGCGTGATACTAAAAAAGTCTGCACAAAAAGCAACAAACTCAACCCGGGTAGTTCTGAGTGCTAAATTTTAGTTGATATAAGTATCAAAGAATTAATTCTCGCTCAATTTTGGGTTTATAATCATCCATATACTGATAACAAGACTGCTCGTATCAGGGCGAAGCCCTGAATGTTCCGACTGCCTTTTAAGGTTTATGGAGCAGCAGTAATAGCATAGAAAAATTAAATGAAATAAACTAAAATGAAAAATTTTTTTTTCTAAAATTTGAAATTTTTTTATGAAAATCATCACCCCACACGCCATATAAAGTACAAAATGAGAGATTTCGTTCCTTTTAACACATCAATTATGGCAAATAAGCTTCGTTCAACCAATTTGGAACGATTTATAAGACGGATTAAATCTCCGCTTACGCGTTAATAGCGCGAATTATATCGCGCGTTAATTGTCCCAAATTGGTCAAAATGGCCAAAATGGCAATCTTTAAACCTTCATAACTCTACGAAAAATGATCACAGGTGAAATTTCTTTTCAAATTTAAGCTCAGGACAACAATACCTTTTGAATGATATAAAAAAAATTCCGTCAAAAATTGCTAGTTAAAAAGTCGAAATTTGTCTGAAGAAAAAAAAACCCACCCCGAGCACAAATATTCCGTTACTTTCGTATCGAAAGTCGGAACAATAAACTGTTCAGAAAAGTTCAGAAGTGAGCGGTTTTTCGGATCTTGTTAGCTATTTCCCCTCCCCCCACCCCCATTGTACCTTGTAACGAATCTCTTACCCCCCCCCCCCCCATAAAGAATGAATCGAAGACTTAAGCATATACGAATTTTGTACCTTGTCAACTATTTCCTCCTCTATTGCACTAGGGGGGAAATAGTTCACAAGATCCGGTTTTTCCAATCGCTTAGAGGATGCCGAATGGATTATTGAATGAATCCCCCTCCATAAAGAATGAATCGAAGACTAAAGCATATACGAATTTTGTACCTTGTCAACTATTTCGTCCTCTATTGCAATAGGGGGGAAATAGTTAGCAAGATCCGGTTTTTTCAATCGCTTAGAGGATGCCGAATGGATTCATGTCTTTGATAGATGCCTGGAAATCTCAGCTGTACACGACAATTGAAACTGTCATGTACAAAAAGGATGTCAAAAATAATTTTTCGATTATTTAAAAATAGACTTCTGAAACGCTGAAAAAAAGTTCATTTTCTCAATTTTTTATTGAATAGTAATTTACGCGTTTGGATGTTTCTTTTCAGAGAAGTCACAATTTTCTCAGTTTTTCTTAGAATTTGGAAATCAAAGCGTTGCTATTTTTGAATTTTGATTTGACTTTTGGAACCATATTCAGTCAGCTGTAATGTTTACACTTTCAAACAAATCATACCTCGAAGCTGAGTAATTGTTCAATTTGTAAGCGAAAATAGCTTTTTCTTGGACAAAAATCAAGATGACCTTAAATATTCATAAAAGTTGTTTACGCTGTAAAAAACACGTTGTTGACGCTGTAAAAATTTAACGCTTCTGACGTAAAATTTTTTTTCTTTCCGGGATTGACAAAAAATGCTAACCAAACAATTCCATACTATTAAAAAATACTGCTCATAAAATTTCATACAATTACCTAGACCGAAAAAAATTTGGTCTCTGTAACTCACAAAAACTGGATAAAAAGTTTTTTTGCCATACTTTTTATCACAAAAATTGTATGAAAATAGTTTAAAAAAATTTCATATAATATGAAGTTGTATGATAAACATTTTTCCATGCTCTATGACAATGTATGATAGGCATCTTTTTCGTACATAAAAAAGCAAAAAAAATGTATCAGATTTTTTGTTTCATGCAAAAACACAAAAACCAATGATTTTTATCATAAGAAAACCCAGCCAGTAAGTGGCAGTTACTGCTCAGATAAACTGCATTTTGTGATAAAAATCATGCAAGTTAAAGTTAACGTTTTCACACAGAGTTAGAAAGTACAAACGTAACTTCATGTAAAAGGCTAGAAAGTTTTTTGGTGATTGAAAAAAGCTTGTTTTTTACAAATTTATGTATATCCCAATATATGAAAAATAAAAAATAATAGTTGTGTTCTTAAAAATCTTTGAGCATTGTCCAGAAGTTTTTTGGAAAAAAAACCTGGACTACGTTATAGAGAAAAATGTCAAATGTTTAATGCAAAGTTTTTTTTCCTAAGATGTTTATTTGAGTGCAGAAACAAGTTTGCAAGCAAAAATGGGAAAAACATTTCTAGCTCAAAACTATTTTTGCTATGGGAAAAAAGCATATCATACAACTTTCATACATGAAGTTGTATTATGAACATTTTTTGTTCAAAATTGATTTTTTTGATACCGAAATTGCTCTCATGTATGCAAAACTGCCACTAATTTGTAGTTTCAATTAAAAACCATTTCAAGATAATTTAACGAAAAAAAAATTTGATCGAAAAAAAATTTATCATACAATTTTCTTCTATAAAAATTGTATTATAAGCTTTTTTCCAAAGACTCCATTTGTGTTATTTTGTGACAAGCATTTTTCCTAACTGGAGGTCAACCCGGTTATGTTTTTGCAAGATTGGCGTGAAAGATTTTTTTCAAGAAGCACGAACTATGAAAAAATATATTTTATGAAAAACTTCTGACTTCGGTTATGAGAAAACATTATTGTTCTATAAAAGTTTTAACGTAAGCTTTACTTTAATTTTGGGGCAATAAATACTTATTTTGTTAAATCAAACTTTTTTTGTAGAGAGTTACTTGGATAAATTAAATTTTGTCGTGGATCAAACTGTAAGTAGCAGTCGAATTTTACTTTTGATTTGCTTCAATTTGGGATTTGGTTACTTTTCGGGGCTGTGTGAAGTAGTATGTAAATAAAGACGCCTAAGTTTTAGCAATCTTTTAATATTTTACATGTTAGCGCGTGCGTTGTATTTAAATTTGCAGTTCTGGGGGAATACTTGATATTGTGGTTCTGAAAAAACTGGAAAATATATTTTGGAATGTCAATTGAGTGGCACATGAATGGCTATTTAATCATTTTAACTTACTTTTTTTTTCGAAACAAAAAACTATTTTGTGCTGAAAACAAAAATTTTTTGAGCTAATTTACAAAAAAAGTTTCTGACATAAAAAAATGCAAAAGATAGCCAGATTTTTTTTGCTTAGTTTTATCATCGCGAAATCTGACTGACTAAAACGTAAATGAACTTATTTTCAAAAATTTCTGTTTCATTTTTTTATTTTATTTTATCTAAAGGCTAAAGTTACGTTCTCCGCTTGTCTTAAATTCGACACGAAAAGCACACAGCCTTTGAATTGTCATTATGTGTTACTTTTCACTGATTGGATAATAAAACAAGGATAGCCGGTTACTGTGTGCAAAAAATAACAAAATTATTGTCGTTATTGTCTTATTGTCTTTAATAATAACAAAAAAAAACAAAGTGTCGTTTTTTCGGCGTGGTGTGATAAAAGAATCAGAGCGAAAAAGTAGAGCTTCAGCATTTTCGTCAATCATTGTAACATTTGCAAACTGGCCAATTTTTGTTATTTTTGAAGACAAGCAACAAGCAAAACGAAAATAGCCAAGAAAAAGTTTTTTAAGATTTCAAACTTTTTTCCCAAACTTTTGATGGTTTTGATTCCTAAGATGAAGCTAAAAACTCGAAAAACTAACTTCATTTGAAAAAAAAACTAATTTTTCAATGCTTAAATTAAGCATAAATAAGCTAATGTAAGCCTGCTTACTCGCTCAAAATTAGACACAAAATTAAAAATTTCAAACCGGGTTCTTTCGACACTGGGATTTTTTTAAAAATTTTTTAATTACGTTCGAATCTTGATTGAAACGGCTTTATTATGATATATTACTCAACCTAGACCGATGATCGTTTGTGGTAGGTAATTTTGCGTGAAAACACCCAAATACCAAGTTCTTCCCGATTTAAAATTTGAAACTATTGTTAAGAAAAACTTAAAATTATTGGTAAGAACGTAAGAAATCATTTATAAGTAACTTGAGTTCATTAGCTTCGCTAGTTCAGATAATTGAATGAACAACCAGCTGATTATGCGCTATCAAGATAAGACGGATCCACTTTGGGGAGTTCGAAATCCATCGTTATTCGAAATTTCCCCAATTTGAATATAAAAATTCTCTTCTGGAATATCTGGATTATCAAAAGCCACTGCAGAGTCAGGCTGCACGTGGGATCCGATGTTTCCATCAATCGAGGTCCCCGCCCTGGACCTATACAAAGGAGGGGGGTCTGAGGGGCATCTGTACACAGGTAACTCCTCATCACTAATTTCACGTTGAATTTCAGAATAAGCCGCGGAATCGTGTTGAGTTTCATCCGCATTTTGAGTTGGAGAAATTTGTGCCCCGTTTGAGTCTAGAAATACACTGTAATAAAGTTTCAATGAAAATACTGTTGGCAACTTCAAAATGCGCTTCAAAACATATACAACGGTTTTTGGGGAAGGAAAGTTTATGTTTAAAGACATTGAGTCCCTGCTTATTTTTTATCCTATGGTGTTCGCCTTTTGACTTAAAAAAAATTGAATAAAAAATAGAAAATATAATTGAAACAGAAACGGACATAAAACAATATTATTTGCAATAATGCATCAACTGATGTCTAATTTTTGTTTTATATCCATTATTTGAAACTTTCATTGACACCAACACACAAAATTGTAGATAAGAGCATCTGTTGACGCGTTTCATGTCATTCATGTGAAATCATTTGAAATAGCGGTCCCTAAACTAGAAATTTGCCAGTGAACAGAAAAAAAACAGCGGGATAGTTTTGAGATATCTCAGTTTCATGAGTTAAAGAGGATCTCTTTAGCTATGCCCCCCCTCCTTTGCAAAGGGGGGAGATTCGTTACTAGGTATAAAACTCTGATATGCTTAACCGGTGATTTATTTCTTTATAGGGGGATATTCGTTACTAGGTACCCGTGGGGGGATATAGTTAGAGATCCGTTCAAGGCACACCTAAAAGCGCATCAAGCCGACCCGCTAGCTGCTCCTCAGAAACTACGTGAAGTTGTCGATTTCCAGGAGCTGCTGCCATTTGGGAAGACCCACTTTCAATGCTTTCAGTAGTGCCGGCGCGGGATTTGTAGTCCGGCAGAACGGACGGGTATCGGTAGACAGGTGGGAACTCGCTGGTGTCACGTCGGGTGACGGATTCATCATAAACTGAGGGGTCAAATTGAATTTCATCTGGATTGTGAGGTACAGCAGGTCTTCCGTCTAATTCAAGTGCTTCTTCTTGGTTTTCTAAAAATAGAGAGGCTAAAAAAGATTGAGGCGAGAGTCAAAGTGTTATTTCAGACAAAAAATTAGCTAATAAATAGAGCTGATATTGAATTAAAGGCTGCTACTGTTCGGTTATGAAACGGATTTTGCTCAATGTAACCTTAATTTGTGAAATTAAATCATGACTTGATGACTAAATCAACAAGATTTAAAAAAAAGCAATTAAAGTCAAAAAATGTTCATTTTTTTCGACCAAAAACAGAACGATTTTTGAACTAAAGTTGCCAAAATGACAGTCAGCGGTTACAATTTGATTTATGAACTGAGATAAAAAAAAACAGTTGAAATGAACTTTGCTTACCGTCTGGCATTCTGGAGTAACAAAAGCACCCAATGATGATGAGTGTGATGACGACCAGACCTATTGACAGGCCAACCACTGCATAAATCCAGCCTTTACTAAACAGACAACGAGAAAAATTGCAGATATAGGACCAGGAAAAAAATGATCGACTGACAAAATGTAAAAGAAGTCGTCGTCTTAAAAACTATGCATTAGCTAGTACATTTTCCCGCCCAAATTGACTACCCAAAATAAAGCTCGTAGAAAGTCAAATGTGGCAAGATATTAAGGCCCTAATAGACGCAATTTAAAAAAAATTGACTCAAGGACAAAAAAAATTTCCGTTCAAAGGCAGTATCCTATTAAAACCATTTCAGCCGCGATTCCAATTTTAAAAAAAAAATTTCAAATTGTTGTCCCAATTGTCTCATTTAGTACGTTTTTCAGACTAAATGGCATGAAATTTACGAACGACATAAAACTGTCAACTCAAATCTAATGCAATTTTTGCAAAAACTTTTGAATTGTTATTTTTGTAAATTTTGATGTATTCAATTGCCCTATCGACCTCATGTGGTAGAAAATTTAGCATATTTCTGACTTAGGGATTTTCATTTTTTTGCATATTTATTTCAATGGTTCTGGTCAGAAGCGTACAAAAAATTGCAATAATTTAAAAAAAATAAAGAAGTTTGATTAAAGAAGCATAATGTATTCTACAAAGCATAGTTATGTACAATCGTCATCTTTTTTTTATTTCATGGCAATTGAACATTTTGTTTAACATTTTAACTACCTCACCATATATAAAAAGCATCCATTCACATTCGATGAACATGCGGATAATGAACATGTGGAAAATTGAACCTATTCTATATAAACATAAACAAAGCCGTTTTATGCTTGATTATTGTTTTCCTAGCACTTCTAATGTTTTCGGATTTCTGCGGATTAAAAGATGACTGACGGAGCGACTTAATTAAAAACTGCCGGCGCGGCTTAAGAAAAAGCTGACAGCGCAATTTTATGAAAGACTGATGGTGCGACTTTGGAAAAGAGCGACGGCCGCGACTCAAGAAAAAACTAACGGCGCTACTTAAAAAAACACTGACCGCGCCATTAAAAAAACGATTGGGGGCGCGATTTAAGAAAAAAGTGACAGCGCGACTTAAAAAAAGTCGGACAGCCCAATTTTATGAAAGACTGATGGTGCAACTTTGGAAAAAAGGGACGGCGCGACTCAAGAAAAAACTGACGGCGCGACTTAAGAACACACTAACTGCGCACTTCAAGAAACGATTGGGGGCGCGATTTAAGTAAAAAGAAACAGCGCGACTTAAGAAAAGACTGGCGGCGCAGTTTAATGAAAACCTGATTGCGCGAATGTAGAAAAGAGCGACGGCGCGACTCAAGAAAAAACTGACTGTATGAGTTAAGAACACACTGATTGCGCAACTTGAGAAAACACTGACTGCGCAACTCAAGAAACCATTGGGGGGATTTAAGAAAAAACTGACAGCGCGACTTAAGAAAAAACTGGTGGCGCAATTTTAATAAAAACTGATGGCGCGACTGTTGAAAAGAGCGACGGCCCGACTCATGAAAAAACTGACAGCGCGATTCAAGAAACCATTGAGGCCGGACTTAAAAAAAATTTACGGCGCGGTTTAAGAAAAATCGGACGGCGCAACTTCAAATAAAAATGACGTTACGGTTTAAGAAAAGACAAACCCGCTGGTCGGTCTAAAAAGTCACTGTAAAATTCGGTATAAAATGGTATGGGTGCAGTTTTAGCGGCTCGTTTTAACTTAAAAAACATGAGGTGGTGACGTAAGAAAAACCCGACGGCCCGACTTAAGAAAAGACTGACAGCGCGACTTAAAAAAGACTGACGGCGGTACTTTTGACAAAACTGATGGCATGAAGTAAGAAAAGCCCGACAGGGCGACTTGAGAAAAGACTGGCGGCGCGGATTGAGAAACGATTGACAGCCTGGCTTAAGAAAAGACTGACAGCGCGACATAAGGAAAGTCTGACAGCGCCCTTTAAGAAAAGACTTTAAGCCGGGGCGCGACTACAAAATCCAGTCTGAAAACGGTATGCGGCGACGGACAGAGTCTTTTTGAAAGTCGCGGACTTTCGAAAAAGTGCGCAAAATTGTTCCAGGGACGTCGAAATTTCACTGCTAGGGGGTCATCATAGTTTTCGACAAGTTTGGCCGTTGCATGATAATGATTCGAATTAATATGTTTTTGTAAGGCTTTCGAAAAGGCAATGTTTGACTAAAAGTGAGCTGATTCAAGAAAAAAAAACATTGAAATACTATATATATATTACTAAAACTTAAGATAAAACGTTTGCTAAAAATTTTAAATTTTATAATCTTACTCGGCGCATTGATCGTATTGACACTTATTACCGCAGCAGTAGTGCCCGACTGTCGAATAAAGACCAGTTGCGTTGTCGAAGAAACTATAACATTCGCTATAATCTACGCAAGAATATTTCGTTCCACCGCAGAAATCGAATATTAAGCAAAATATAAGAAGGAATTTTTGAAGGTTAATCAGAAACTTCAACTTTGAAGACATAATTACGATGTACAAAATGTTTATTTTTTTTGACTCGATAGCTATTGAGTCAAGTTTTTGGAAAGTTATGCAAAAATTTTAAAAGCCTAGTTCATTTAAAAGTATTTGGGAAGCTGGAATTAAACATATCAATTAAAATGAACTTTTGATTCGTCAAAACAAAACAAGCAGTTTGAAGCCAAATACATTTCTGATAGACGCACTGATAAAACATTTAAATTGAATAATAAATCTGAGTAATAATTGACCACAGTTATGTATAGAACAACTTGCAACACAGCTGAATCAAACAAGTTTGATCTCACCTGTCTGTTCAAAATCAAAATCGATGCTTTTTAGCTCGAAGAACAAATCAAATATATAAGTTTTTGAAAAGCGTTTCTAGATTATTTCAAAAACAACCAACAATACTAATCCAAATTTGCAAAATCCGATCTGATGTTTAGTTTGGAAAGTTTGTGAAAAGCAGCGTGATCAACCAATTAATTTTAATTCCCCAAAAACGAAAGACTCCTGTTTGAGAAAACGTAATTGAAAGAAAAACAAAACAGCTGGCATGAAGGTTGCAATTGCTCTGTAAAAAAAACTTTGATGAACTTAAAAACTGTTTACAAGAACCTTATTCAATTTATATTATAATAAGCCCCGCCGCAAAATTTGGTAATAGGTTTTACTGTTTTTGCTTCATTCCAATTTGAAAAAATTATACAATTGAGCGCTGACAATTCAACTTCACTTTGTTATTACGTCTAGCTTAGACGAATTGAATGTACGTTGCAAGGTCGGGACAGGTATCCCGAGATTGACACTTGAATGTGAGTATTGTGTTCATTCTGCCTGATGCATATTGAAAAATAACAGCATAGATTAAAGATTTTTATTTTATTTACCCAAAGATAATTCTAGTTTTCTAACAATTCTTATTTTGTTTAGTCATTTAGCTTAGATATTTTCAGACATATCACATGGCGAGCCAGCAGTTATGAATCTTGTTGAGAAGTGTGATCTACTGGGAGTTCTCGTTAACTGGCCAAAACCAAGATCTGACACACATTTATTTTGAGAGTTTTGGGTTAGGCAATTTTTTGTGACCCAAATGTCCTCTTACATTAAGGGATTTTCGACGACCCTCAAAAATAACCAAAAAAAGCCAGGTGAATCCGAATCAACCACTGACATCGAAAATCAGAAAAAGAGAAACCAATCTGAATTACGGAAAACAAACGAACAGAACACGGAAAGACAAAAGAAAGGACCAAAAACCGGTCCCAATGTAATTATCTTATTTTCTTCGAAGTCTATCAGAGACTTAAGTTCAGTTTCTTTTTTTTCCTTAGGATCTGAAGTTAAGAAACTTTTTTTAAACAAAACACCGCTCATATAAATAAAGCCAAAACTAGCTTTCAAATTTTCCGTGAGCATTGTGAACTTCTTTTCAAGAAGAAGAAGAATCACAATAGTTGAAAGGATGCATTTATACAACTCCAATCAATCCGAAAAAAGGGATTTGAATCATTTTTTTTAGCGCTTATTAGGCCAAACAGCCCAGTGCGGATTGTGCATTGCGAACGAGAAAGAAAAGGATAGAGACCTTCTTACTGCAAAAAACCAAAAAAAACTATGTATTCAAACGGAATTCCTCTGAAGAGACGCTGAAATCCGCTCTGCTCCAGCAAGAGGGTTACGTGACCGCATCAACTCTTCAGAGACAAATGGTCTCTAATCCTTCAACTTCTTCATCAAAATTTTGTCCCTCAAATATGTCCCCTGAAAAACGTCAAATGCATTTCCAAAGATAACGTTCACAATATTAGTGAAGGTTCTGAGTCAACAGCAGAAGAATACTGCAACTTTAGATCTAAAATAAGCTTTTCTCCATCTCCAACTCACCGACCTTATCAGAAGTCATTGCTATTTAACCATAGTTTGCGGTGAAATTACAGGACGCTATCGTTTTGAAAACGCATATTACGGCCTTACTGACATGCCGAAAGAGTTTCAAAAAGCAATGGACAACAAGATCCAGAACATTTGCGGTGTTGTTTGTTTCGTAGGCTTTTGCCCTAAAATTTAAAAAAAAATGTGAACTTTTGGCACGGAAAAATCCTAGTTCTGTTCAATACGGCGACGTAGGCTACACACCAAAACTCTCTAAATTACAAACAGTTCTTGATTTGTAGGCATCTAGAACCCTAAAGCAGTTCAATCACTTGCAAAATTTCCTCCCAAATCTTCAGAGATAAACAGACCAACTCGGAACATCTTTAAAAACCGAAATTAAACTAAAATTTATGAAGAGCCCTGGCCAACAATCAGCCTTTGAAGCTACGCGCGAACTCAAAGATGGGTCCTGGGTACCTATAATGTTCTCTTCCACATTCTTAAATGACCAAAAAATCAAACTTACCACTGACGAGCTCGAACTTTTAGCAATTGTAGTGTCGTGCAAACTTTTTAGAAAGTACTTGTTAGGCAGTCAGTTTGAGGTCCTCCCGACCGTTAAGTCATCATATCGACTCTTAAAACCAACCGTGAAAACAAGATTTATCAGTCGAGGCTCACTAGATTGGCCGACAGGATTTTACAATTCGACTTGAGCGCAATTTATATTGCGGGCTCCAGATTTGTCATTGTGGACTAGTTATCGAAAAAACTTCTCAGAAGCCGCCCAATCATCTATTTGCGACAATTTTTTGTAGTTGAATCCTTAGAAAAATTGTTTGGAGCGTGCGATACTATAGACATCCGAAGGATCTGTCTGCTAAATCGAACAGAATAAATTCACCAACAGGTTAATTTTATTCGTCCATCTTCACATAACTTTCGGATGATCCTAACCAACAATTCTTCTAAACTCAGTTTTTTTCCTTGTTCGGAATGTGCTGAACAGTTTCGTTGAAAGTTACTGACTTTTAATCGCAAGAGGGCGCAATTTTTTAATCTTCTTGTCCCAATCAATCAAATTCGAGTGTACATTTGTGTTAGTTTCTGCAGTAGGGTTTGTGCAGTGTGTTAGTTTCTGCAGTTGTGTTAGATTCTGCAGTAGCTTCTAAACTCAGTTCTTTTTCTAGTTCGGATTGTACTGACGAGAATTCAATTAAATTCTCGAGATTCATTGCCAAGACTCAAGTTTCAACCAGACAGATTCGTTGAAATTTACTGACTTTTAATCGCAAGAGGGCGCAATTTTTTCAACCTCTTGTCCCAATCAATCAAATTCGAGAGTACATTTGTGTTAGTTTCTGCAGTAGGGCGTCAGAATCCCTGCCAGTGGATTTACTATTTTATTTGGAAATTTTCCTCAAGAGGGCGACCGATTTTTATCCAAAACTCTGTACCAATCAAATTCCAGTATTTAATTTAGCATCAACCCACAAAAGGGCGTCAGATCCCAATTTTCAACCTTATTCAGTCAAATTTTAGCAATAATCGGTCAGCATTTCTACTAGAGAGATTCGAATTATGCACCGCGCTTTTCAACCGATCAGAACGTTTTATGCAAATTTGGATTTATAAAAACTCATCTACAAATTTTTTCATCACTTCCTATCGGAAGTCCATTACTCCTACGCATCATTACAAACTTGAATCCAACCCTTCATTACAAATCTGCAAACATTTCAGAAGGCAGAAACCAGTTCTTGTAAATAATCAAACCTCCTTTTTTCAGTAATATAAACTCGAAGAGCAAATTTGACCTCCCACTGCGATGAAAGTTTTGAGAGCTAACTAAACAAAGTCGCTTCTCTCTCCAATCTAGTTTTCGGTCGATCCAGATCTCAGGTGCGGGTATTATCAGCAAGACGCCCAAGACGAATGCCGATTAACACAAAAATCGTCTCCTTACGCCAGAAGTATGCGACAGCTCTAGCCACAGTTCATTTAGCGAGATAAGCTTAACATCACTCAGTATTGAAGATCTTGGCAAAACATAAGTCGGTCATATCGGAGGACAAGAAATCGCTGCGGGGTTTGAAGGGAATTCTCGACCCAGATTTCCGCGCGGAATTTACTTCGGAAGACCCAACGTTGAATCTTATGAGACGAGCAGTGGATGCGATAGACTATGAAAGATTTTACTGGATCTATCCCTACATCAAAACTTTCTGGATTTTTTTTGCAGGCATTGACGAATGTATCGTGATCGACAACTGCATTGCAATTCTACAATGCTTCCAACGAGCAGTACTTGCCAGACTTCCAAGAGCACACCCGGGCAAAGATGCCATGATAGACGCCGCCAATACATCTGGTGACCCAGAATTTTCAGGGACATTATCAACATCTGCAAACATTCAGTCCAAGCCTCCAACTTTGGTAAGAACTTAAAGGCTTGTAGTGTATTTAATTTTTCAAAACCTCTACCTGCTTCATCCTCAGTAAATGAAGAATTGCAATTGAATTACGCCGGCCCGTCTTAGATGAAAAAAGAAATTTGGTCTATATACTGGTCGCAATCAACCCTTCAAAACAACCTACTGTCATGTTGACTCGTACCACAAGCATACAAAAATCATCAATTTTCTCTAGTTATATCAATATCCATTCTACCCCAAAAACTATTAAGACTGACCAGTATTCGTGTCTTAAAAATAAAAAAGTATCAAAATTTTGCACCGAAAATGGCATCAAACAAATGTTCTGCCCGGGTGGTGAACAGAGAGGATGTGCTTTCGTAAGATTCATTCAGACACTAAAACGTAAAGGGAGTGCAATGCAATTAGAGGATAACCTACCAGAATTTCAGGAAGCTCTCAACTATTTTATAGTTGACATCAAATTGAATAAACCTCAGTGGTTAATATGTCACATTTTGAACGCCATTTTGGTTAAAAAAAACCGAAGACATCCTGTCTTTAACTGTAGATAACCCAAGATTAAAAGCTGACTTAGATAAGAAACACTTGGTCAGAGAAGCCCTAAACGCAGAGGAACAACGTGAACCTTACGATAGCCACCGAAGATTCCAATTCGTGCAAAAGGGGGAGAATAGCAGAGACCTGCGCCCCCAGTTCAAAACGAAATCGTCATCAATAGCGAATACAACTCAATACAAAGTGCTAGAATCTCTTGCTCAACCTGTCAGCAATTGGATGGTCCAAAAACAACCCTTTAGAAAGACAAGACAAGGGAGCCTTACGCCTTATCAAATAGGAATGCGTTATTAGCCGCATCCTTTATGAGTAACTTGACTTCTTTTCACTTTCGGTCGTCTTCGACCAAAAGACCCACTGTGAAAATCACAAGTAAATTGGAAGATGTTCTTTTATCGTAACCCAATCGGGTCAAAGTTTTCGGGAAACTTTCAGATCGAAAATCTGGAACAACTCGGAGAAAGTATCTAAAATTACTAAAGACACTTTTATCTTATAAAAAAGTAAAATTATTTGGAAGAACCATATTTCTATCAGATTAAAGTCAGTTAATAGTTCTAGAGTTTTAGGCAAACAGTCTTCCTCCATATCAACAGCGGGCGAAAAGACCTCTGCCAAAAAGAGGTCTTTTCTTCATCGTTCTCAAACGAGGACCTCCTTCTTCCACCAAATCCGCCTTGGAAACGAAATTTGGAGACAAATTCCAAATCTTCGCTTCCAAATTTTTCCAGACCGGCCCAACATACATCTCCAGTAGACCACCTCAAATTTACGCAGTATTGCACCGAAACCTGCACCGCAGCCTTTGGACGCTCCAGGTCTCCTCTATGACAAAACAGCCCAATTGGTCGATTTGACGGATACATCTTCAAGTTCAGGATGGTTGATTGCACTCCCGGTTGTAACATTCTCGCCGGTCAAAAAGAATGTCGTGTCTCCTTCTAAAAAGAAAAGGCGCTCGAATCCTCAGAACTCATAAAGAAGTCAGGAGACCTTATCCCAAATTCATCCGAAGACAAACTCCAATCAAGTTCACAACCGAAACCTTCAGATTGCCTAACTTTGGTGAAGAGAGTTCGATATCGCTACGTTTTAAAACCAACTGCCTCCGTTCCAAATCCCGTCAATTCGCCAGCCAAGTTGTCAGTCCAGTTCAAATCAGTTCATTGAGGTCATCTGGACAAAATAAGCGCCAGACTCAGTTCTTTGGCAGCCCAGTCAGGCATGCGATCACAGCAGTAGAGGAAACGACTCCTAAGAGACCTTTACTGGACGATTCAGTCCCTATATCAGAAGGCGAATTGGATACTTCACCACTATCAGGAGAAAGATAAAAGTTTTTAAGAGGAGTACACCAAAACTCTGATTTGTCAAACATAAACATTAGAAAACTTGTTTTGTTACTGTGAAAATCTTGTTGCTAAACAAATACCTGAATTAATTTGTAATTTTTTTGAGGAGGGGCAGTGTGGCACGGCTCAGCGTACCGTGTTTAGCTGTAGCTGTAATATGTCTTGTTGAGATCAATTAGTTGTACCTGTCAAGGTCGGGACAGATATCCCGAGTTTGACACTTGAATGTGAGAAGTATGTTCACTCTGCCTGATGCATGTTGAAAGATAACAGCATAGGTTGTTGATTGTATTTTATTTATTGGAAGAAAATTCTAGTTTTTTAACAGTTCTTGTTCTTAGTTTGTCAGTTAGCTTAGATATGTTCAGACATATCACACACTCAAGCAACTCGCGTTTACGATTGAATAGGTCTATTACGTATAATTTGTACGGTTAGAAGGATGGCCTGATCAATTCTAATAAATTGACTGAACTGGAATTTCAAAACGTTTCTGGAGAAAAACGGCCCCAACATATATCTGACTTTCTTTAGAAATAATAGCAGTTTTAAAAAAGAAAACATGTATCCACTATCCGACCAAACTCGTTCAAAAGACGTGTCGGATTCTTTGTTTAGATTCAGCAGTTATGAATTCAGACCGAAAATTAAAACTTCCCATATCAGTTATAAACGTATTGGTCTGGTTGTTCATAGAAGTATATCAAGCCTTCTCGTTTAGCATTAATGACAAAAACAAAAACTTGAATCGGGGCGAAGAAAGGAGCAAAAATTCTCAACTATAGTTAGTTTTGTATCAGAAAAGCTGATTTTTTCATTTTTTTCTCGTTTTTGACGTTATTTCGAGCAAAATCAAAAATTTGCCCAACAAAATGAAATTTGTAGTCGACTACAAGTTGAGATTTAAAGTTAAAAACTGCCACAAAATTAGATTTTTTAAAAGTCTAAACGCAACGATCCTAAATTTACGATAAATAATTTGAAGGTTCTATAAAAAAAAAACTGGAACTTGTCAGCTGTGCTATCATGTTAAAGCCCTGATGGTCGTGATTCGAGTTTCAGAAAATGTCAAAACATCTTGTCTGAGTCCAAAAAAAGCTATATATTTTTTTCAAGTTATCAGAATAAGTTTAACAAAAATTACACCCATATAATTATTTCAGTGCTGTACTTCAATTGATTTTGATTTGTCAAAAAAACACTGAATGAAAAATAATTTTTTGATAAAAATCTGAAAGAAAAATTGAAAATTTCTTAAAATTTTGTATATTAGCTTAATTTTCTGTGTTCAAAAAATTACGTGCTACCTACGTGCACGCTGAAATTTGTTATATCTCCTCAATTTCTGTGGTGCGGATTGGCTATGACGTTTATAATTTTAACTTCTGCGGTCAGAAAAACACTTGCTACATGCACTGTTACCAATTATTCTCATTGTTCCGAAAAATGAAAATGAGCAAAATTTTTGTCTCTGGACGTGTTTTAGTTTTTTCTTTTTATTTTTCTTGCAAAATTGGGTACTACAATCAGCCATTGGAATGAGTCGAGTGAAATGCATCAACAAAACTTTTTAGCTGTTATTCGAACCACATTTTAAGAAACTTCAAAATTTTTCACAGTGACGAAAAATTCCGATTTGAAGGTTTAAAGAGCTTCTTCATTTAGCGCTTTCTTAGCATAATTTTATTTTCTAAAATTTTTAAAATATTAGGGCAGAGTATAGAAAAAATTTTAGAACCTTGTTTTGAAAATTTAAACTTTTTTTCGCAGAAACTGTTGTCGATTATGCTTCATTCACTAATTTTTCTACGTGTTTGTATAGTTATTTCATCATGCTACGCACAAAAAACAAAGATTTCTGCTAATGTAAATGCTGCGTCAATTGCTTTGAATGGAAAATTTTTTCAATCTCAACTTTCGAGTTTTTTATTTGAAGATAACAAATTGCTTTCTTCAAAACAAAACCTGAGGTTAATTTTTCAGTTTAAATAACAAATTCTAAATTGAGGGCTGCCAAGGGAATAAAATTTAACCATTAAAAAAATTTTTTGTTCCCACCGTTGAAGATGAGGAGGAATTTTGTCTTTGGGTGTGTTGTAAATTTTTCTTTTTGTTCTCCATTATTGTGCAAAAAAATTTTTGCTCAAAAGAATTAGAAAAAACTTAAAAGTTTTGAAAATTTACTCTTTTTGCTAAGAACTGTTGTCAATTATGTATAATTCGCTAAACTTTCTACATGTTTGTGCAGTTCTCTCATTACACCACGCACAAAAACACGACATTAAAAAAAAAACTTTTTTAAAAGTTTTTTCATGAGTGTGTTTTAAACAGCAACCGTCTACTCTTGTTAGGCACCACTAGGCACATTTATACTTTTGTTGCTTCAAAAAGGGGATGAAAACTAATATTAATTTCAAAAAGTTTAGTTCAAGTTAAAATTGAAAGCAGGTATTATTTTGGGCGGTATTATTTAATTTTGGGTGGTAGTTTTCCGTTGATTTTCTATAATACGCACTTTTTTGTTAATTTCTGGGCCTTTGGTTTGAGTGGCATTATTACAACGTTTCGCTTTTATATATTCCACTAATTTGACCACAACACAAATAAAAATATAACATAGTTAATTATAGAAAAAAAATGGCCCAAATATTTTTTTCTGTCGAAGCAGCTTCTTGCATGCTGGCTGATATTAAGTACGCAAAGTTATAATCTTTCAAGAAAGGGCTTGTTTCTTAACAAAAGGAGCTTTTTCAGGTACTTGAGGGGGTAATTAGAGAAGGAGCTTGACGTGGTGGTAGTTTAGTCAATTGCAGGGCTGTAGATAAAAAAAAAGAGTGAGAAGAGTTGCTTTTTTATTTGTAGGCTGGGTATCCTGAAACTTTGCAGCTGAAGTTAAGATCACTGCCTTCTGAAGTCTTCGCAAATACCATAAATGGTAAGTTTTTTTCAGCTCGGCGAAGTGGGCTCAAATTTCGGATTGATTTCAGTTGTACACATTTCACGAAATGCCTTCAAACTAAAAATATATTATTATTCAAATAACTTTGATACGAAATGATAGTTAAATTTAATAAAACTACTAAAACTAACATCAATTACTAAACTAACATCTATAAATACTTGAGCAAAAGAACAAATTTACTATCACAAATAAGCTACATCAATTTTACACTTAATCAAATATTTACATTTTTCGATATGTGTGACTATTCGAATTTTTCAACGCAATTATATTATAAAAAATTGAGTTTTAATTGTTCATTTGCGTTATTTTCTCGGAAGTCACATAGCTAGAAAAGCCCGCATGTGTATGATTGTATTGACTGGTCGATTTGAGAGTTCTGAAACAAACGCACAAAAGATAACTTTTGTTTTTTTAGTTGTCGTTAAATTTTTAAAGTTTTTTCTTAAAATAGTGAAAAACTCCTCAACAAAAATTTGAAGCAGAGGCAAAAATAGTCCAGCAATTTGTAGATAACCAAAAAATGAACGCTACAAAAGTAATGACAGAATTTAGACCATCACTGACTGATTTGAAAATAACTTAACTGAAACATTTTCTTCAGAAATTGTTTCAGAAACAGTCTGTTGAGTCAGTTCCATTTCCATCTGTGAGATAAATATTTCAAAACATAGTTAGCAGAATGATAACGCACGGACTAACCGTACCCGAGTATTTTTTGTAACACATAAATATATATGGTTTGTTCAAGCCCCCGATTATACTCAAATAACTATTTTTAATAATTAACTAAATATTTCTGAGAAAAAAGAGAAATAAACTGAAAAATTGATTGTTTCCAGGTAAAAGTTACAGCAAATGAAATGTTCGGATTTTCTTTCAGACTCTTTCAGACGTTTTTTTTCTGAGAGATAATTCGTTGAAAATAACTTTTTTGCTGTCACTGCAGCAAATTTTTGTTAAAACGCGAGTTTTAATTAAGTTTTTTTCAATTAAATCGATAGTTTTTAAGGAACTGTTTATTTAACTAAAATGGGTATTTTTACTAAACTAAAATCTGGGGCCTGTTTTTGTTACATACCTGCGAGCAGTAAAGAATAAACTCGTCTTTCGTTATTTCGCGGTTTTCTGGGTGGGTGCTCATCTTCTGAAAAAAAAAACAGTTGTTAAACTTTTTTTTCAAGTAACTATGCGTCATGGCTCAAATAGGTATTTCTACTTAACAATCCCCTATGGTATCTGCAAAAAAATTAAAAAATTTCTCCCTCCAAATTGAAAATGAACAGCGGTTAAAAAGTAGGCAACTTTTTTTTCATACCGGTCCAAAATAGACAAATACTATATTTACTTATCATAATCGATAACGGAAAGCAAACTTAGGAAATAAATCATTAATCTATTTTTACTTCCTAAGTTGCTTCCTGTTTTTGAATCTGATTGATTAATATAGTAGTTGTATAGTTTATGACATGTCTATTTTTTAGTACCTAACCAATGAAAGTGTTTGTTTGCCGTCTATTCACGGCTCTATTTGTTACTTAGAGATGATTTTCAATTTTTAATGTTACAGCAGTTGCAATTTAGAGCTTGCTAAACTTTGAGTGTTCTAAATTTCCTGCAATCTGATTGGTGAAAAAATCTACTAATGTTACTGAAAATATTTCATAACAAACAACCATGTTTTCTTGAAAACGAGAGGAAAAAAGAGTAATCGAGACTAAAACCCCATGGCCAAAACAATTTTGTTGCTGTCCAAACAAGCATTATTTGTTTTTTAGGGTATGTTTCTATTTGTTTAAGGATACAGTTGATGCAATTTAAAGCTTGCAGCCTAGAACTTAAAGAGTTTTACATTTCCTGTCTTCTGATTGCTCAAAAAGTTTATTTTATTTGGTAGATAACAACTTCTGTCTTGAAACGAAGGGGGATTTTTAACAAGACTGACCCCCTCTACATTAAAACTGTTTTGTTGCCGTCGAAACATGGCAGTAATTGTTCCGTAGATTTTATTTCTATTGGATGAATATTAGAAATGTTGCAAATTAGAACTTGCTAAGTTTTGAGACTGTTACATTTCCTGCATTCTGCTGAGCCGAAAAATTTACATATTTTGCTAAAATTTCTATAATCTCCTTCGCCTTCTCTTGAAAGATAGGGAAATATTGTTAAGTAGATCAAAATGGCATACTAGTTTACTTGTTTGGTCCCTCAAAATTGTCGTGGTAGCTAAGTAACAACAGAAGTACAGTGTGTGCTTTAATTCTCACAGTACGCATCTTAATTCTCTACTTTAAAATCTGAGCTCGCAAGAGTTAGTTTAGCGGGTACAAACTCGACAACCAACCTCTGAGGCGTAGGTTCTAATCTCGCAATTGCTTTTGTTTTTTAGGAAATAGACGGGACAAATCATCTAGCTAGGGTTCTCACGAAACCAAACAAAAAAATAGAATCCAAAATGGGGTAATTTGAGCGGATTTTTGGATAGCACATATGAGCAAACCCCGCATTTAAAAACATATACGGTAAGTTATTAGGTAATATAGATAACAGAGCAAAATTGACAAAAAAGTGATCTGATTGTTACTTTGATCCTCCTTAATCAGAAATTGTTGCCCAAATTGGGAAAATAGTTCCCAAAATTGGGCTAGCGGCTGCTTCTCTTTTTTCTACCACCGGAAGCACCAAAATGACAACAAATAAAATGCAAGAGATTCTGTACAGATTTTATTTTTTATAAATATCCATCCAACTCAGATTTGAATTGATCGAAAGTAAAAATCATCCATTTCAATCGGTTCTGAATCAATTTGAATTTTGTGTGATTTTTGAATTTTTTACTGCTTCATTGTTTGAACACAATTATACGAGATAAACAGTTGTAATGTATGCTTTCAATTGGTTTTGGCCCTGATGTTTGATCTGGAAAGAATCTGTAAAAGTTATTTGCAGCAAAATTTTAATTTGCATCCACAAACTTCTACAAAATCGTTGATCCTACTATTTGACTTGAGAATGTTTTTACTTAAGTTAACTTTTTATCATCGTGCGAACCCTTTGATTGCAAAATTTTAAACTGGTTTGGCTAAAACTAATGTTTTGCGCATATGGTCCTCACACATTTTGCCCCTAGCTTAGTACACAATTAATTAATCGGCGCTTCAATTGTTGACGATTTGCGGGGCGAAATGTGTGTGAGGCGAAATGTGCCAATAAATTCATAAGGGGCGAAAAGTGTGAACACCGTTGAAATCAGTTTCTAGTCGTTTTACCTAAATTGTTGTCATACAATTGATTTTCAACACTCCTTTGCAATTAAAATTGATTCAATTATCATTTAGTTTTTTTTCAGTGAGTAATACCCGGGAGCGGAAAAAAGTGTTTTTAACAATTTTTTTCTTTACTTTTTCATTCTAAATTAAGAAAAAATGGACAAAACCAGTCAACTTTGCCTTACTTGCCAAAACAACTGCAAAAATTTTCAAAAAACATACACTGGAATTTGTGATAAAAATTCAGCCATTTTGCTTATGCAAGGATGAAATCCTGTGAAATTGAAACACTTTTTTTTTTGGTATTTTGAGGCAGAAACTTCGTGATTGTCAGAAAGAATAGTTGGTTTATGCGTTTATAAGACAAAAGATGACAATTTTTTGTCCCCCAAAAAAATTTCACTTTTTGCCCCCCAAAAAAATTTTCCCGGCCAAAAATTTACTTTTTTTTCCGCTCCCTGGTAAAAAAAAAGTCATAAAAGTTATGTAAGAATAATCGAACAGGTACAAAACTCAAGCTACTTTCAACCTGAATTAGCTTAACTTTTTGTTAGTTTATATATTCTGTGATGGAACCTTCGACTGTTTGGGTCTTCTTAATTATTCCACTCATATTTCTTGTGTTTGTATTTTTAGCCGATTTCTAACGAAGCCGAATTTTGAGAAAATGTGAGGGTGATCATTTTTTTTCTGGAGCTAGTTTTGTATTTTTTTTTTTGGTCTCAGTAAAGCTTTACAGCTTATTTGAAGAAATTTTGAATAGTTAACCAAACGTTCTATGTTTTTGACCAATTCGGCTTATTTATAAATCGATTTAAAATTGCAAACAAAACATTATGAGATGGTGTTTAATTTTGACTGGTTAATTCTGGCCAATCACATTGTAGCTTTAGTTCAAGATTTTGATTTCGGGCGTAAAATTAAAAAGACTGTTTTAAGTAATAGATTTAATTACACACGGTTGTCATATGTACCTCAATGATTTCGTTGATTTGGGCTTTAATTTTGGTCTCTTCTGCCTCGATGTCCTTTCCCACCATGAAGTACATCGACTCCAAAATCAATCTCAGATCCTAAACAAAAATATACCCAAAAGAATGATTAAGGCAAAAAAGCAAAAAGTCAGACATACCACTTAGATAGAGGATATTTTTTGAATTTTCAAACAAACTTGGCATTTTGTTATTTCTTTTCATAAGAAAAAAATTTTGATTACTAGGCTAGAATATTTGATAACTGGAAGTTCCATCGCTGCATTTCGTCCTATTTAAAAACGTCATAAAGTCACAAGGGCTGAAAGTAACTTTTCACGTGCATAAGGCCTCTTTATTATAACCTGTTGTAAATTTAGTTATCGGGGTAACGGAACACATGACAACTTACGTGATGACTCAGCACTCCATCCCGGTCGATATCGTAGAGGCTGAAAACCCAGGACAACTTCTCATTCGCAGACCCCTTTGTCATGAAGGATAGGGTGCGCAGAAAACTCTGGAAAGAATAATTTGACAAGCTCCGAGATACAACAAAGGTATTGGAAAAAAGTGATCGAGATTACAAAGTCAAGCTCGATAAATGTAATGACGGTGGATTCCACAGACACCGCTATTGGGATCCTGATCCGCAAATTTCCTCTGAAGACCGCAAAATTCGAAAAAATTGTTGAAAAAACCTTAAATTTTTTTTTGAACTTAGACTTGTTTAGGTTCTGATGAGAAATCAGCTGGTGGAACTTATTATTTATTAGGGCTGTTGAATTTTGAGTTAAGGGCTGTTGTATTTAGGGCGCGATGATACAGATTATTGGATACAAACAAATAAAAACGAGTTGTAGCTGAATTGTTTGTGACTAATATTTTACTGACAAAGGAAAAAAATATCAAATTGAAGCGCTACGTATTCTGTCGTCATTCAGATTACGAAAAGAACACTACAAAAAATTTCCCTCTTTGTCCAAAAAAATGGTCCATTTTTTGTTTATCAGATCAATACTTTGTCAAGCTTTAAGTGACACGATTGTCAACAATTTATCACTAAAAATTTCAAAGTTTGCACTGAATTATGAAAAATAAATTTTAAAAACGATTTGAGATGAAACTTAGCAACATATGATTAAACGCTAGGCGCTGAATTTGGCTTATATTTAGCGCTCAAAAACTAAGCGCTTAATTTGGATTATACATATATATAGGGCGGATCTAGGATTTTCTCGAGGGGGCGGATTTTCAAAAAAAAAATTCGGAAACGTTTTTATTGACCTTTTTTAGAATACCAAACTTTATAAAATCACCTCAAAAAAGCGTCTTCATTCCTTTTTCAAAAAATTCGGACAAAGTTTGGACGTTTTTAGGCGTGCAAACCCACCCTCAAAATTAGCAGAATTTGGTGACCATGGCGTCTTTAGAAATACTTTAGAGTCGGCCAGCCAAAAATGGAGGTCTTAAAAAAGTGCCAAAGGTGAAACCCTTTAGGTAGTCAGGGGGTTGAATCCTGAGGGGCGCGTTCTCCCCACCCCTCAAACCCACTACTGATCAAACATGAAGATTTTCGAGGTTTTGCGTTTCGTTTTTGAAATAGAAAAACTTTTTTGACATAGAATTTATGCCTTTTTCAAGACAATGGAATAATTTGTTTTTCAACCAATCAATTTTTGCTGATAAATCACATCTATTTCAAGTTTTTCTGCTGCTGTATAAATTTTGCAAAATAAGTTTTTGAATTTTCAATTTTTTAAATAAATAAAATTTGATCCAAATTTAACATTTCTTAAATCCATATAGAACCCATAAGAACTATAGATTTGCCGCGCTTGTTTTTCAACAGTTTTTACAAAAAAGGAAAAGCAAATAATGGTCTCTCCCATAGTAATTTTTGTTAATCTCTCCCATAGTAAAATTTCTCAACACTGGCAATTTCTCAAGAAGCGCAACACTGGCAAATAAAAACTAACAACAGTTACTTTTTTGTCTAGAAAAGTAACTATCAGAAGTTTTAGTATGAAAATGAATGCATCTACAGATTGGGCGGACCAGATGAAATTAATCTCCAGAAAATAGAGGTCTTAAGACAGTAATAATGGGAAACCCTTTAGGCAGACTGGGGATTGAATCTCTGAGAGGGGGAGGGGGTTGGCCCGCTAAATCTGCTACCATATAAATATACATAGGTGGGGCTTTCTAATTGATTTTGGTGTTCCGACCATTGAAAATTAGGAGGAACTGTATATTCCGGTCTGTTTTAGTATTTTTTTTTACTAAAACAGAACTAGTTCCGAACTAAAACCTAGTTCTTACTAAAACCTATTAGTTCCGAAATTGACGGAATATTTGTTCTCATGGTGATTTTTTTCTCCTATCTTAAAAGATAGAATTCGACTTTTAAGTTTGCAAAATTCGACTTTTTTTATATTAGCCAAAGGTATTGTTAGCTCGAGCTGAAACTTTGACAGATATTTCACCTGTGATCTTTTTTGTAAAATTAAGAGTTAAAAGCGAAAAATTTAACTCATACAGGCGAAAAAATCACTGTGTACTTTAAATAGCGTTTGGATGCATGGTTTTCAATTATTCAAAAAAATTAAATCATTTTTATTTTTTGAATTTAATAATTGAAAACTTCATCATTTTTTGAAGCGCGCACCAGTCCATTGACATCAAACGGCAGTCCGAACATTCACGGCCTTGGCCTGATATGCGCAAATTTGTCTTTTATGTGTTGTCATAGTATCTAAATTTAGTTCATGTTCCATTTCTAGTTGTGCTATTAAATTCAATTATCTGTCTGGCGCTAACTGGTATTTAACCTTCGGAGTTTGTCTGTCACCTTCGGATGACAGCTATTTTATTGTCTCCGACTAACTTTGTGAACTACGGTTACTTATTAAACAGGATTAAATTAACACCTCGAAACCGTCTTTTCACATGGCGCAGCCAACAGGCCAAAATGGGGGGAAAAACCCGCTGGGGATTACATCGTTTTGGCCCTCGACGTTTGCAGAGCCACCAATGCTATGGGAGTTTTGGTTCAATCGTTTTCAATGGGGGATGGTGGCCAAACATAGTATAAACCCAAAGAATTTCTATTATGCCAGTACCTTAACCGCAGAGCAGGTTACAGATTTACCAGAGGAGGTAGACGGGAAAAATCGCCTGGCGTCGGAGCAAACGCTTATCTCGAACTTGTATTTGTGTCTGGGGGAGAAAGGACAGGATGAGCTACATAAGAGGAAACCACACCTGGATTTATCTACAACAAGGTACTCCAGAGTTTTGGATACTATTGAAACAGAATTCAGGAAGGAACGGAACGAAAGTTACGAGACATTCCAACTATTGGCACGGAAGCAACAAATAGGAGAATCGCTGGAACAGTTCCACTCAGTGTTAAGTGGGCTGGCCGCCCGATGTAATTTTGGAGCATTGGAGACCAGGATTTTGCGGGATGTGTTCATTGTGAACATGAACAATAGGGAGGCTCAAAATGAGTTATGTCGCTCGACGAAGACACCAGAGGAGGTGTACCGTATTGCACTTTCATATGAACGTGGATACAAATATGCTAAGTCATACGGATCAGTAACCGGAGGAGGAACTAGTGGCACTGCCGGCGGAGCTGGAGCGTTCCAAATCAAGACGGAACCGGTGGGAGCCATCCGTGGAGGATACAGAAACAATAGACAGCGGGGACGTGGATCATTTAGAGGGCGAGCAGAAATGAGAGGGGGTGGTTCTAGAAGATGCTATAATTGTGATCAACCCAATTTTACCCCGGAACACCTCACAACTTGTCCAGCCAAAAATGCAACGTGTAACTTCTGCCGGAAAACGGGACATTACGAGAGGACTTGTAGGGGAAAGCGAAACAATCGGGGAAGACCGGCAGTGGGACTAATCCAAAATCAGGAGAATATGGAAAATAGCGAAGTAGGCGACGCGGAGGATACTTACTCGCAGCATGAGAACTCCGTTGGCTGGGTTAATACGCCGGTAAAGAAGCAACGCTATAGTATGTGGTCATGGCTATCAAATCTCGGAGAGAAACAGAAATAAAAGTGGCCGGCGCCCGACTACCAATTAAAGTAAATGGAAAGCAAACAAACCTTTGGATAGACAGTGGATCACCGATTTCAATATTCACCATTGGGGAATTGAAACGGACGTTGGGCACAGCAGGCGTCAAGGTGAAGGCACCGGCACCGACGGATGATGAGTTCAGGGACTACGGAAACAACCCCTTACGACTACTAGGAACGATGGACGTATTGTTGGAAACGAACGGATGGGTGACCAACGCGAACATCAGAGTGATTGGAGGAAGCAGACCATCAATTATTGGGAGATACCTAATGCCAAATCTTGGATTACAGATAGTGCAGAAGGCACCGGAGGAGAATGCGATGTCGGTACAGAGCGATCAATCTGCGGCCGAGGCGACAGAGGTGGCGGATTCACTAGACCACTGGCAGACCTATTTCAGTGAGCAATTTGAAAACCTTTTTAACAGAGTCGGAAAAATTAAGAATTATAGGGTACACGCGGATTTTTTCGAAACGTTAACGCCAATTCAACAAAAAGGACGTAGAGTGCTAATCACATTGCAGGATAAGGTCGATAAGGAAATTGATAAACTTTTACAACAAGGACACATTGAAAAGCTGAATGAATGTTCGGATAAGTATTTTGTTTCTCAGATTGTAAAAACAGTGAAAAAGGATGGATCAGTAAAATTAGCGTTAGAATTTCGGGAGCTGAACAAACAAGTTCACAAGAATAAATACCAAATGCCGAACATTGATGAGCTTATGGATACGGCAGGACAAACGATAAGCGAACGGAAACCAGGAGATGTATATTTTTCTACTATGGATCTTACGTACGCGCACGGTCAATTACCACTTAGCCCGGAAACGAGCGTTCAATGCAATTTTTCGCTGGTGGGAGGAAAATCAACGGGCACGTATCGCTTTCAAACGGGATTCTACGGCCTTACGACCATGCCAGCGGAATTTCAAAGAGTGATGGATACGATCCTTTCGGAATTTCCGCAGGCGCATGCTTTTATTGATGACATTTTGGTGGTCACCAAAGGCACGGAGATTGAGCATATCTCGACAATTGAGAGAATTTTGTGGAAGTTGAATCGCGAGAATATGTCGCTTAAGCTCACTAAATGCCAATTTGCGCGGAGAGAGTGTGAATGGTTGGGGCACAAAATAACTCGTACTGGAATAACACCGCTCGTCCGAAAAATGGAACCGATCGAATCGCTTAAAGCACCAAAGACGGTGTCACAACTTAAATCCTTTATCGGTTCCATTCACAGCTTGCACAAATATCTTCCGGCGCTGGCGGAATCATCAGCGTCATTTCGCCCACTATTAAGCCGGAAAAACGATTATATTGGAGCGATGAATGTCAAATATCATTCGAAAACCTGAAAAAGCAGGTGGCTAACATAGTAGAACTTCGGCATTTTGACATACACCGAGATACAAGAATTGTGTGTGACGCTAGTCATAACGGGCTCGGAGCGGTCCTTGAGCAACTAAATTCCGACGGCTGGCGGCCGATATCGTTCGCATCCCGGTATTTAAACGAGGCAGAGAAAAATTATTCAACGAATGAAATAGAAATGCTGGCAGTTGTGTGGGGGGCGGATAATTTCCGCAACTATGTGCTTGGAAGAAAATTTTTAATAGTTACGGATCATAAGGCACTAGTATCAATGCTAAATGGGAACAACAAAAAGCAGATTAACAAGGTGGTTAGATCGTCTTATACCGTTCGACTTTCAAGTAGAGCATAAACCCGGAGCAAAGATTGGACTCGCTGATTATCTATCAAGGCATGCCAGTTTGGAGCCTCAACCGGTTAGCACCTACGATAGTATGTTTACGGTGGCAAAAATTGGAAGAATTAGATCCGCCCTCGGATTTGAAAAGGAAACTTTTTCCAAAAATAGACTCGAGTATCCACCGGTTACTATTAATAGACGCGGTTGTAATATATCGAATAGAAAACGACCGGTAAAGGGCGAACGATCATGCGATGGAAATTGGACCAATCACAGAGCGACGAATCGCATTTCCGGCAGGTCAATTAAGTCTTGTAATAATTTAGTTGGGACTATTATTCAAGCAAACTTTAGTTACTTAAATTCTTCAAAAACACTCAAAATTTCTCCAAATTCTTCAACGAAAACTAAAAATTTAAAACACACTTTAATCATGGAAAAAAAAATCAGAAAATTCTTGGAACGACACCCTAGCATTAGCAGTAGCGATGAAGTAGAGGAGATTGATGTGGATATGCAGGCGGTTACAACAGAAGACGGGAGCACTAAAACAAATACTATTATTTCCATTCCGTCGGTTTACCCTGGCGAAAGATATCCACCGGTTAATCCGGAAAATAAGGTTAAGTCCGTCATTCCGAGAAATTGCAAAACCGTCAGTAAACAAACTTCCCTTCCCGAATGGTTTAATCTTCGATTCATAGAATCACAATATAATTCAGATCCACAATTACAAGCCATTATCGAATTAATTAAATGTAAAGATCCTCAGTTACACTCAAAAATTGCAGCGATGAGTAAGTACTTTGCACAGTATACTCAGGAATTTCACGTAAGAGACGGATGCCTGTGGATGGACGAGAGGCTAGTGATCCCTAACACCTTGCAAGCGGCGGTGGCCAATAGGCTACATTATTATCACCACGGGAAATCAAGTATGTACGACGCGGCTAAAGACATCTGGTACCCGTACATGTTCCGTAATTTAGCAACTATCGCCGGAAATTGTCACGAATGCACATTAGTGGGTAAGAACTTGAAAAACATGTGTTCGAAGAATGATATAGGGAAAATACCTGAGCCAAAAGAACCGAATGAATCGGTACAACTGGATTTTTGGGGGCCCATTAACTACTTGAAGGAGTCTAAAAAGTATGTTTTGGTGGCGGTGGATCGGTTCTCACGTTGGCCATTGGCTATGGTCTGTAATTCGAACCGATCGGATAAAATTCTTAAATTTTTAAAAGCATACATAATTGCCCATGGAGTTCCCCGCCAAATTCGAGTTGATCAAGGAACAAACTATATGTCTAAGGAGGTTAGGGCATTTTGTCATGAACAAGGAATTGAAATCCTCATCTCGCCAGTGAACGACCATAGGGCAACAGGATGAGTCGAACGCACAATCGGCAGCAGCAAAAATTCAGTACTGACGTATGCGCGGGAGGATAAACCGGAACCCTTGGATCGAATGGTCGAAAGAGCCCTCGGAGCTTTAAGATTTGTTAAAAACGCCACCTTCAACATAACACCGTTCGAAGCGCACCACGGCCGGGAAGCTAACACGGTCCTAAGAAATTTGACTAAAAAACCTACTCTACGGAACCTAAATTGGGAAAATGTAATACGATCAAAATCTGCATGTTTAGATGAACGAGACCCAATCGCCCAAGCAATGCCGGAGCCTATGGATACCAACTGGGGAATCCGATCGGACACTGAGTACGACCTGAAAAATAGGCGACGACCACTGAAATTGGCTGATGATCAAGCCGTTAACCAGGAGGATGAGCCTGGAATTGTGCGGGCACCAAGTGACTCAGTAGAAATAACACCGGCAGTGGTGATGCAGAGGACCGGGGAGCGGAGTATCAATAGGTATAGACCATTAAATTCGGACATAGTTAATCAAAGTAAGCATACTATTGAAATGGGAAATGGTGCTGTGCTTAGAAAATCGGGAGTAGCACTAAAGAAGGCAAAAAATCAGAAGAAACGAGCGCCGAGACAAATCGCGGCACCACCAACGCCATGGGACCTAAAAAGAAAGTTACTAACGTGTGGTAACCAGCCAAGCAGCGCAAAAGGCACCAGGGGAACTTTCCATAGCACCATGGGAAAGAAGTCACGATTACAAAATTTGGAAATCGCGGAGGACTCAGACTCGGACGCGGAGGACCATTTGCCGCTAATTACATCGAACCAAGCCAGACCGACAAGTGGGGGAACAAACGTTGGGGAAGAGGGACAAGGAACGTCTAGTGGGGGACAGGACCAAATACAGCCTGAAATCATAACGACTCGACCAAGTAATTACGAGACAGCAACAGACTACACAATTGCGCGTGAGCAGGAAATCGCGGAAAACCAAAGGAAGGAAGATACCGGAGGAATCACACCACAGGAGACGGAACGCGAGGCGGAACAAATTCCAGAAATTCCAGAAACTAAAGAGAAAAAGCGGGGTCGGAAACAACGACTTGTTTCCTACTCAAGTCAAGATTCAGCTAGTTCACTGGATGAAACTAGTTCTAGACGGTCGGGAAGAAAACGAACCGCAGTGACTAAGATGGGGGCAGTCATGATCGATAACATCCAAAAGACGGATAAGCCGGGAGCAAAATAAAAAGGAGGAGAAAAGAAAGTATGAGTAACAAACTTATAAACAACTTTAAAAAACTGTTATCTTATGGAGGTCCAGGGAGAGGGCATGCTGTGAAACGGCAAAAACTCAAAAGTTTGTGTTCTAAAGGTGTTGTAGTTGATTGACAAAACTTGTTATTAACCCTATTGATTACTGTTAACATTGATGCATTGGATACGTTGATTAGAGTCATTAATTCTTACAAGGAGGGAAATGTCATAGTATCTAAATTTAGTTCATGTTCCATTTCTAGTTGTGCTATTAAATTCATTTATCTGTCTGGCGCTAACTGGTATTTAACCTTCGGAGTTTGTCTGTCACCTTCGGATGACAGCTATTTTATTGTCTCCGACTAACTTTATGAACTACGGTTACTTATTAAACAGGATTAAATTAACACCTCGAAACCGTCTTTTCACAGTGTAAGGAAACTAACAAAGGAATAAATAAGACGGCGACTTGCAATTGAAGAAAGTAACTGAAACTGCTCACCGCGAAGGAGACATCTCCGGAAGAGTTCCGTCGGAAGGTGTTGTACACGAAGTGGGCATACTGACTTGTATCTACAACACACATCTGTTTCGGATTTAGGGAACAAACTATGTTTTTGGAGATACGTGAAATTATTCTTAAAAAAGAGTCCGTATCAGTAGCTTGCCGAGAGGGGGGGTTTTGGGGGGCTTTGGGGGCTCTTCCTCCTTAATTCTGATTGCCATAATCTCCTTTAGCACTATTTTTTGAACCCTAATTTTGGTTCACCAGCCTTGTATGTTAACTTTTTTTTATCTCGGATGAATGACATGTTAGTCTTCAAAAAAGAGAAAATTACCGGGAAAAGTTGCCTATTGAAAAATAAATTAAGTTTTTCTGCAAAGTCATGTGAACATTTACCTCCGATTGGGAAAAATTGCTGGAAAACAGTTCGAAATATTTCCTCTGTCAAAATTCCATTTGGGCATTCCTGAAACAATTTCTAGTAGTTAATAAAGAAAAATGGGGCAATTTTTGAATTCTTCAAAGTTGGCATCCAATTAGACTGGACATAACTTTTTTATTAAGTCGAAAAATTTCACTATATGAGCTCTTCCTAACTCCTATTAATACGTATATTTTTACCACGCTGCACAATTTTTAGAAAAAAAAACTGATCAAAATGACTTTTTTGCGCATTAATTTCAAAGATTGCCCCTTAAACCCTTTAAATCTTTTTATATTAGCGCCGACGACTCTCTAGGGACATTTTTGAGGTTAGTCAACCAAACAGGGGGCCTTTGAAAGACTCAAAATCCAAAAAATAACAGTGCCTGTTTGAATCTGCGGTAGATGAGTTTGATTTCGTCTTTGGAAAAGAGGGAGTCCTTGGCCAGAGCCTCTATGTTTTGAGGCTTCTCCCGCACGCCCTGGAACTCCAGCTCTTCCAGGAAACTGTCTGCACAAAAGTCAATCAACCAATCAGTGTGAATTAAAGAGCAAATTTGGAATCAACCAATCAGTGTGAATTAAAGAGCACATTGGGAAGTCAGAAGTCTATATCTCGTTTTAAATCTGATAGATCTAACTGGACGACATAGATAGCTGAAGTGTATTCAAAATTCAATTCGCAATACAGGCGCAAACCTTGCTAACAAGCATCGGCAAAAACATTTTAAAAAAACTAAATTGGAACCTGATCTAAACTACATTTTATAATTGGATAAATTGGATATTTTACCACTGTAAAATATTTAATATTAACCAATCATAATCCATCTAACTAACAACCCACTTATTTGTAAGTGACGAAATTACTTGTAATTTCAGCACCAGAGAGATTTGAATTTAACTTAGAAATTAGTTGCCTCTCCAAGAGAACTTCAGCAGTCGCAATAAGCCAGTATACTCTAGATCTATTGAGCCTAGCAGAGACTAGTTAAACACCCTGAGACTAGTAGATATAAGAGTAAGATTAGGATCGGTATTAGACTAAGAAGTTGCACGAATCTATCCGGCCCAAAATAAGATAGCGTGACGAGCAGACGGTGTACCCTATCCGAAATTACTCTATGAGTTTAACAAATACCACCTAAACTCATCTGGTGCGACCATAAGTCTCGAATAAGACCTTAATAGCTTAGAATTAACCAAAAATAGATTAGAAATTAGACAAAACATTTTCAAAATGTTACACGATAATAACTTAATTGAAATGTCTCTACGACTCAATAGATCAGAGCCGATATTCCGCACAATACTAGAACTACCTGGTATTGGAAGAAGACCTCGAACAAGAGAGGATATACGACTAAGTAGAAACTTACCATTTAGTTGTACGGCAAAACCCAACACAAACTTTTATATTTAGAATCTTATTAGCAACGAATTTAGATTTTCATTTGCAAACATAAAACTTTGAAGTAAATCTTCATGAATATTTCAGGCGCTAAACAAAATTATCAATGTACAATAACGATTGATAAAAAGATCTCAGACCGTTTTCTTCATTTCTGCAGTATTATATAAAACATATTTGAAAAATATTTATTGAAAATAAAAGTAAAAATAAGTAGCATGACAATAAATTGTTAGTAATCATAAATCATCCTGTTGTTCCAGCTTCATCACCTAAACATAACAGCAGTCATAAACTCACTAATATCATTGAAAAACCTAATTTTAAACTTAAATTTACTTAATTTCAAAAATCAGATCATCAAGGCTTATCCTTGGATCTTAATAAATTTTAAATCTCACTAAATTTAAAATCTGATCATCAAGGCCTATCCTTGGATCAAAAAGAACAATTTTGTTCTCCCCCACCCATTTAGCAAATGTCTAACGACCTCAAACGTCGATTCACTATCCAACCTTTCCAAAAGACCCAGGACTAATAGAAATTTTACAATAAAACTAACCATTCAAATTAAGATAATTAGTGAAGAACTTCGGTTATTCACCCTTCACTTGAACCCTCCTCTTAACAGACCCAGGATAGATCTTAGACTATGTAAGTTTAAAATAGTATCTAATGAACTACTTGCGTTCTAATTATACCTGAACCTTGTGGATCGATTCACTATTCTCCAACCCTTGAACACAATCACTACCCCTAAGTAAGATTAAGTAAGTTAACACCTTAACTTAGACTAGCCACGAGAAAGTAGAACATCATTCTCCGGAATCGATATACTTTTCTCTCCAACCCTGAACAAAAAGACCCAGGTTAAGCTAACCAAAAAATCGTAAGGACTAACAGTCTAAGGAAATATAAATAACTAACAACTTCTTGCATCCCTCATCCTAAACCTTATGTCATTCAAAATTTTAGGAAATAAACAAACAATCGTTTTACACAACAGTGAAATAGATAACAAAAAAGACGATCTTGTAATCACACCTCATACAAAAACAGTTGGATACATTAGAACAAAACGACAAACAATAAAAAGGAAAATTATAAACAAACAAAGACAAATCACACGAAAAAGATTTTCAAAAAATAGAAACGCATTTTCTGAATCAGAAGTCAATAGTTTAGACGAACTATACAAATTAAAAGAATCAATAGATAAAAATTGTCCCATCCATGATCAATTATATTTTTCCGACTCAGAAACAACTTCAAATTCATCAAAAAGAGGAAAAGGAAGAATAAAACAGCAATACAAACACAAACCAGTACACTTGTATAATTGGAATCAACCAATTAGACACATCGATAGTTATATATTAACAGTCATCAAACGAAAAAATGAGCCACACTCAAAGTGACGAAAGTCCAGATGACGAAGCAGTTTTTCCCTTTCTTATAGATTCACTCGATGATAGAGGACAACACGATTTTTGCAAGAACTTACTCGTAAATTTGTTTGAACCAGGAATCAGCCCATGAAAAGCAAAATTCCCAGATGTAAAAATCAAAAGACAAATTATTGAACATTATTTGAAAGACATATGTAATCTAACACAACAATATGGAATCTACACCATAGAATTCAGCACACCAAATACAGCCCATCGTAAATATGTAATTCAAACAGACGATATTGAATTAGAATTCTCAAAAGTATTCATAAAATATATCAAAAGCATACAATATCATAATTCACAAAGAGCAAACTCCATATTCATTAACGAAGTTTTTGCAACAATATATATAGTTATATATCTATATTAGAAAAAACAGAAGTTCAAAGTATATCACCAGCTGAAACATCCAAACATACAAAAGTACGAAAAGAAATCACAGTATTTTCAACATTTCTACATATAATTCGCAAAAATTTTACAAAGGAAGATGTTTCACAAAACACTAAACATGATTTACAAAAGATTTTAGCATGGTTTATAATAGATTATTTCACCCACAATTTAGATTTAATTTCACAAGCAAGACAAAGTTTTAGACCTCAAAATACCAATGACGACACTGTTCTTTCAGAACAATCAGATTACGTTTGGGACCCTGACTGGTCTCATCAAGCATTTCTAATTATCCCACAAGCTATCTCAAGTCAAGCAATAAGTACAATATCTTTTCACAGAGATTATGTAAAAGTAGTACCATTAACCATTGATGCAACACCATTGAATTATAATACATTTTTACCTGATACACGAAACAATAGCTTAAATTCAACAGTCATAGATAATGAAAATCTCAATGGAACCAGAAATCTTACACAGCAAGATATTCAAACACCATCACACTTCATAAATGAAGAAATCGTCCAAACAACAGCAACAACTACACAACAAAGTATTTCACCAATACACCCCAATCTGACAACACCAAGAAATACAAATACATCACTAACACAGGTAACCTTACAATCAACCGTTAAACCTTCGGTTGCTCCAAAGTATTCACATATGGACTATCAAACGTATATACCAATGACAATACCGTCAAAAACACAAAGACCGTTCACAAAAAACACTTTTGCAGAACACAATTATAATTATGCTCACAAACAAAAAACAAATCAAACCCCCAAAAAAATACACAAAATTTAAATCACGTATGTTCACATTATTGGAATCTCCCAAAAACATCGACCAATTCAGTAAATTTTCCAGATAATCCACAACCTACACAGGATTATAGTGAAAATTACCCATTCTTTCAACAAAATAAAAATAAACAATATACACCATATAATACAAACTATTTATCATCTGAGGAAGATGATTATCACCAACCAGATATTTTTGCACCATATACTAAAGAATATCGCACACAGAATCCGCGACAATCTCAACCATCTCAAAATATGAAAATATACCCACAAAACCCAACAGATATACAAAACCCACAACAAGAAACAACTTCAAATTCATCAAAAAGAGGAAAAGGAAGAATAAAACAGCAATACAAACACAAACCAGTACACTTGTATAATTGGAATCAACCAATTAGACACATCGATAGTTATATATTAACAGTCATCAAACGAAAAAATGAGCCACACTCAAAGTGACGAAAGTCCAGATGACGAAGCAGTTTTTCCCTTTCTTATAGATTCACTCGATGATAGAGGACAACACGATTTTTGCAAGAACTTACTCGTAAATTTGTTTGAACCAGGAATCAGCCCATGAAAAGCAGAATTCCCAGATGTAAAAATCAAAAGACAAATTATTGAACATTATTTGAAAGACATATGTAATCTAACACAACAATATGGAATCTACACCATAGAATTCAGCACACCAAATACAGCCCATCGTAAATATGTAATTCAAACAGACGATATTGAATTAGAATTCTCAAAAGTATTCATAAAATATATCAAAAGCATACAATATCATAATTCACAAAGAGCAAACTCCATATTCATTAACGAAGTTTTTGCAACAATATATATAGTTATATATCTATATTAGAAAAAACAGAAGTTCAAAGTATATCACCAGCTGAAACATCCAAACATACAAAAGTACGAAAAGAAATCACAGTATTTTCAACATTTCTACATATAATTCGCAAAAATTTTACAAAAGAAGATGTTTCACAAAACACTAAACATGATTTACAAAAGATTTTAGCATGGTTTATAATAGATTATTTCACCCACAATTTAGATTTAATTTCACAAGCAAGACAAAGTTTTAGACCTCAAAATACCAATGACGACACTGTTCTTTCAGAACAATCAGATTACGTTTGGGACCCTGACTGGTCTCATCATGCATTTCTAATTATCCCACAAGCTATCTCAAGTCAAGCAATAAGTCCAATATCTTTTCACAGAGGTTATGTAAAAGTAGTACCATTAACCATTGATGCAACACCATTGAATTATAATACATTTTTACCTGATACACGAAACAATAGCTTAAATTCAACAGTCATAGATAATGAAAATCTCAATGGAACCAGAAATCTTACACAGCAAGATATTCAAACACCATCACACTTCATAAATGAAGAAATCGTCCAAACAACAGCAA